GTTCATGCCAGTGGCTGACTTGTAAGGTGCGTTTGGTATCTTGTGTCATTCCTAAGCAGGCCAGTGATGCACATTTAATAACTTCAGAGCTCTTTCCAGTATTTGGTTTGTGGGCATGATGTGCTACAAAGATGAGATTTCAGGAACTCTCTCTTTCTGAAGCTTCAGTGGAGAAACCCTTTACCAGATTCTGAGTAGCGCAAGCCCAGGCCAAGGGGTGGAAAAGGACTGCAGTAGATGTAAACAAGCTGCAGCAGCAGTTTGGTATCTTTCCTGTCTGAAGAGAGAACTCTGGTTAGGCTTCTGCCCAGAATCTCTGGGAAAGGGCTAGTGTTTCAAGGTGGTTGAAAGTTTTATTTCCCCTTTAATGATGTTAGGAAGTATAACATTCGGTTGTACATTTCTTTATTTCCTACCATGCAGGTGTTGAGTACAATTGGCTATGGGATCTACATTTCATGTGAGTAACTGATTGTTTTCGGAAGGGGTGGGGGTGAAATTTTCGTGGCAACGGTGAGACTGCATGCAGCTGCCGTTTGGTTGGGCTTGTGATGTGGAGAAGCCACAGGCCGTTACCTTCTTCATCCCTTCCAAAACACTTTGTTGAGGCTTTGTCAGATTCACAGCCACCCTGTGAGGTAGGATGCAGTTGTATTGCTGTACCAGATCCAACATCTAGCTTTTGGTTTCCAACCTTGATCAGCCTCTGTGAAGCTTACAAGCTTGGTGTGGCCGTCTTGTTTTCCACATGCATCTGGAGCTCCATTGTGAGCTGCACCTGCACATTGGGGAAGGCTCCAATTTTAGTGGTCACCCTCAGTTTTTTTTTGCTGGTGGCCACTGAGAGTGTGAGTGATTCATCCAAACATACGTAGCAGTCAAACATGAATGTTAAACCTGTTCTTTGTCCCAGGCTTATAAACTGAAAATAACATGCACAGCCTTTGTTCTTGCAACATAGAATGCTTCCTCCTGCCTGCAGGAGTGTCTGGACATATTTCTAGAGTTCTGGCTCTTGGGCTTTGTTATTACTTCTCTGCCAAACTCCAGAAGGCCCACCTTTGCAGATGAAGGGCTTGGCCTGAGTCCTGCTCCTTTCCTCCTGTGTTCAGTGATGTTAAAAAAACAGACAAGCATATATCTGACTGTCTGGTGATGTCACCTGTATGTCTGAGAACACGAGGTGGTCCTGTGAGACACTGCAGGGAATCAAGAAGCAGCGCCTCAGATACAGACATTCCAACGCAAACTTTTATTTGTTTCAGGATGCGTGTTCCCGAGCAGCGACAGAGTCTCTGGGCAGCCTTTACAGGTACATTTGAGACTGGTGCATTTGCAAAGGGGCCAATAAGATTGGCGAAAGCCTACTCTGTGGGGGTCTTCCTGGCAAAGCCTTTCTGACCCAGCAGCACAGCAGATTTGGCATCTTCCTACCCAGAAGCTGGGCTGGTGCGGTTGTATTGAACCTCTGCGGTTTGAAATGATGACCTGAGTTGTTGGACGACGCAAGTCGCATGGCAATAGAGTTACCAAAGCCCTGATCAGACTGCAGTTCTCTTTATGTAGGGTACCTTTCAGCTCTGGTTGTGCTTTTAACCATTGATATTTATTTATTTTGTCTTTCTTTACAGGAATGAAATGCCCCTCATCAAGAATGGTGAGTGTTCCGACTGTTCTTCCAAGTTTTGACGTAATTAATACTCAGAATTGTTTTTGAAACACTTCTGGTCCAAGCTGTTTTGTTGGTTTTTTTAGCTGGGGATTCTGAAGTTTTAGCTCACTGCTTTAATGTGTACGGAAATGTTATCATAGTCTGACACATGCAGCTGTTGAAATGGCATTATTTACTTCATTTATACATGCTCCACCCCCCCCCCCCCCCAAGTGTGAGGATCCTAAGTGGCTTGCCTTGTTTTCTCGTATTCATTTTTATCCTCCCAGCAACCCTGTGAAGCAGGTTAGGCTGAATGTGTGGCTGGGCCCAGGTCCCCCATCAGGCTTCTGTGGCAGAACAGGGATTTGAGCCTGGGGCTCCTAGATCCTAACCCGGCTAGTCCTTGCAGGAAATCTGTTCGAAAGGAGCTATGACTTGCTAGCAGGGTACTGGAGCAGCAGGTAGATCACATGGTGCTTTAAGCACCAATTTGCTACTGGTCTTCCTTGCCAAATGCATCTTGGAGTCAGTATCTTGGGTTATGTTCTCTGCACTGGTAATTATTCTTGTTCTCCATGAGAGAATGCAAACTGCTGAGCCTGCAAACGGGTTGGGTCCTCAAGCTTTTTAGGAATTATTGTGGTGCATCTTCCCCTTCTCTATTAGCTGCTGCTCTCTAGTGATGAGACCCCTACCGCCCCAGTCTGATCTCTGTGACTGAGTGGTTCTCTCTGAGCCCAGAAGCCCAGCAGGATTTAGCAAACAAAAAGGGACAAGAGGTTGCAGCTCCTTGTCTTAACTCCATCTCCTTGTTCAGTTGCAGGGCTTGGCCTCATTCCAAATTGCAGACCAATGCAGTTAGGTGTCAAGCTCTTCATCCACCAGGTGAGAATTCTTTATATGGAGAGGAATTTTGAGTAGGATAGATGGTGGTGGGGGTGGCCTTAAGCCTTAAAGCAACTGTTTGGTCCCGATGAAGAAAACCTGTCACGTCTTACCATCTGTCCTGGCGCCAGAACCTGCAAAGGTTGAACCCACTGGGGCCGGCAGAAGGAGAGGAGGAATCTCTGCTCCAGAAGGAACAGTCTGATGGGACAATGCAAGGGCATTCTATAAATGGCTTCACGTGACTGCTAACTTGTGTCCATCTCAATAAAGGGTGGTTGTAGACTACGAGCACTGTCCTTTGTGGCTGCTGTTCACATTGGCATGTCTCGTTTGGGCCAATTTTTAAAAAGTGCCTCTTGCGGATTTAGCTGTTGTAGGCAAAAAGTTACATGGCTTTTAAGCACCAGTTGGCTTGGGTATATTTTATTCCAATTGTTGACTGCTGCGAAATTGTGTGGTTTTTGTTTTTGCCAGTTCTCCGTGTGCTGGGCTGTGGAAGGCCTCTGTCCTAGGAATGAGGTGCATGTTTGAACATGTAACCCTGACTTGTCCTGCCTCAAAGTAGGAAAGGTGAGTTTACCCTGTAGATCTAAACTTCCTCTGCTCAGATCGTTCAATCCTGTCCTGGTATCCCCACTGACATGATGATCTTCCCTTTGGAATCTCGTTCGGCTGAATGCCCTTGTTGAGAAGCGGAATCTGAGCATCAGTTGGGAGAAATTAAAACAGATGATAGTGGCTGTCTCTCCAGGCAGGCTAGCTTCTTTTAAAAGTATGGAGCAGGCCTCTCTTAAGTGGGTCGCTGATCCCTCTGTATTAACAGATTGTTGCCTCCTGACCAAGTGTATCTCAGGATCTCTTCCAATTTTAAAGGTAAAATTCAAACCAGTTGCCAAGCCTCCAACTTCGCAGCTAGAATAAAACACTTTTGAGGCAGGTGCGACTGATTAGCATCATTCCAGGCATGGAAGGGGATTGTGGGGCATCCCTCACACATCTGGTAGCATTGCTTTAAATGAGAGGGACTCTGTTAATAACAACTTTTACCCCAATTCCTATTTTTTTTTAATGGCAGTTCTTTCTTGCAGAGTTATGAACTTGGGCTGTAGGAGAAACGTCATAAGATGGCCCAGCAGGTAAGAACAACTTGCAAGGCTGCGGCTGTAGCTCTGGGGAAAGAGCACATTTTGGGTGCAGAAGGTACCAGTTTTGATCCTTGGCATCTTTGGGGGTGGGGCCATGGCTTAGTGGTGGAGCATCTGCTCAATAATGCAGAAGGGTCTCGGGGTCAATCCTTGCCATCTCCAGTTAAAGGGATCAATAGCAGATGATCTGAAAGACCTCCCCCTCAGATCCTGAAGAGCTGATTAGACAAGTTAGGACCTTAGTAAACTGATGCTGTGACTCAGTGTAACACAGCTTTACATGGACGTATGAGCAAAAGGGGATTCAGGAAGACCTTCGCTTAGCTGGAGAGCTGCTATCTGTTCGGGGAGGTACTGGTATTACATAGAGAAGTACAATTCTGTAGAAGGAACGACTCCTTCGGTGTCATATAAGTGTCATTTTCCAAGAAAGAAGAGTCTCCCTGTGCAGGAGAGCACCTGTTCTTTCTAGGAGTTTACTGTACAGCCTCAAGGCCAGCTCCTTCCTTTCTCTCACCTGCTCTTAGACTTGAGAAGGGTGAGTTGGTGACATGAGCTGTGGCTTCATAGCTCCAGCGCTGAGTGCCTCTTATTAGGTCCTTCCAGGATGTTCCCCCTCTTGAGATTTTTGTTTTCCTCCTAAGGGGGGGGGAAGGCTTACATGGTGCTGTCCACGCTGAGGGCTGGAGGGGCCTGAGGAAGGGTTTCCTCTCGTGCCTCCTAGGACTGGGAAATCTAGGTGGCATAAACAGGTTTATTGATTTTTGTTCCCGCTCATACTTGAGAAAAGGCATAACAGTGGATCTCTCTCAACGTTGGGACTTCCCATGTATCACTTGGAGCACTGCAAATCCCGTCCTGTATGATTTGGAGCGCCCAGAGAGTGAGAAGGCCCTCGATAGTGCAGGACTGCACCTTCCGTTAGCCCTTAGAAGCTTTGCGGCTGCTGGCATACAGTACCGAATGGATTACCTGTTGCAGTTTTGATGATGAGATTAACTAGCTCACTTTGATGTTTTTACACAAAAACAATGAAAATGCTAGAACAGCTGAGAAACTGGGCCAAACTGTGGGCTTGCTTCCCTCTGGCTCAGGATGAATGACTGATTTCCTGTCCCCTTCTCTGTCTATTTCCTTGTTGCAGGTGGGTAGCCTGAAGTGTGTGGGAGTCGCAGGTGGTGTCAGAAGCAAGGTGAGAGTTTCCCTTGCTTGGGGAAGCTGCTCGTTAAGGATTCTGTGGTTCCAGTGATGAGACCTTTACCGCCCCAGTCTGATGTCTGTGACTGAGTGGTCCTCTCTGAGTCCCAGGTTGTGGGTGGAGGTAAGGGATCACTACAGCTGTCTTAACATTATACTTAAAATCCTGCTTTGTTGTTATTTTTCAGAAAGCTCAAATTGACTTGGCGCTTCCAGCATTCTCATCCAGATACTGATTGGCCACTACTATGCCTGCGGCACTGGATGCTCCCAGCCTGTTCACAAGGCCTTTACTGTTGCAAGACTGCTTCAGAAGGCAGTGGGTAGGAAGCCCTTCCTTGCATCCCACAAGCAAGAACCTGGCACAGAGGTAACTATAGTGAGACACTATTCCTGGTTTGGGAGCCTTGTGCCCCTGAATGTTAATTTTGTTACTTGAAAGTGGGGACAGAAGGAGGGGTCCCAATGAAGAAAACCTGTCACGTCTTACCATCTGTCCTGGCGCCAGAACCTGCAAAGGTTGAACCCACTGGGGCCGGCAGAGGGAGAAGAGGAATCTCTGCTCCAGAAGGAGTAGTCTGATGGGACCTGTGTGTGTGTGTTGTTGTACTGGCTTTCCTATAGTACAGGGGGGTCCCCAGGCCTTTTGAGCATAGGCTTTGTGAGCCTGTGGGCATCATTGAAATTCTGACACATGGTAGGCGCTCCCACAAAATGGCTGCCACAGGAGGCTGACCCAGGCACAAAATGGCTGCCACAGCTTATCTTCAGTCACACCAGCAAGATCCTTGTGCTGTGGTGGCAGCAAAAGGCCCTCTTGGCCCTGCCCACTTTGTAAGAGCACTTAGTGCAGGTGTGTCAAACATAAGGCCCGGGGGCTGGCCCATCCGGCCTGTGAGCAACTAGTGCAAGGGGAGGGAACCCAGGAGACTGTTTCGGGGGGAGTGGGCAGAGCCACTCTGTGGCTTCAGCATGGTGGAACAACCTCATTTGCAGCAGTCAAGCAGCTTGGGAGTGTCTGCCAAGTGCTGTACTGCTGGCTCTCCAATCTGCCCATATGGGTTTTCCTTTGCACCCCCTCCTCCCAGCCCATGAGTGATGATACACCAACTCTGAGCTTACCAGCTACTGCTTTTTATACAGTTTTTAAGAACATAACAGAAGCCAATGTTGGATCAGGCCAATGGCCCATCCAGTCACACAGTGGCCAAAAATACCAGGTGCCATCAGGAAGTCCACCAGTGGGGCCAGGAAACTAAAAGCCCTCCCACTGCCCCCCCCCCCAAGCCCCAAGAATACAGAGCATCACTTGCCCCAGACCGAGAGTTCCTACCTATACCTTATGGCTAATAGCCACTGATGGACCTCTGCTCCATACATTTATCCAGTTCCCTCTTCAAGCCATCCATGCTTGTAGCTGCTGCCACCTCCTGTGGCAGTGAGTTCCATGTGTTAATTACTCTTTGGGTGAAGAAGTACTTATGTGTTCTAACCGGACTGCTCAGCAATTTCATGGAGTGCCCACGAGTTCTTGCACTGTGAGAAAGGGGGGGAAAGTACTTATTTCTCCCTTTCTATCTCTGGTACCTAGCATTACATTTTGTGGCACACATGGACTGGCCTGACAAAGTAACTATTTTCTGTCAGATCCAGCCCTTTTAACATGTGAGTTCAAGTGAGTACCAGGGGATGTTGGTGGGTGAGGTGGTACTCATGATGACATTGGTGTCTTCTGCTTATAACTGCTCATCTTTGGACTTTCTTTTATTTCTCAGGTCTGCTGGATATACACAATTGCTGAAAGCTGTTAAAAGAACTGATACATAGCCCATTTCAGTGGCTATTACTTGGTCATCTTTAACACTGAACAACTCTTGTTGGGCAGAATGTAATACAAATGTTTTAATTGGGTACAATACTGGGCATAACTTAAAAAAATAATTATTAAACCATATCAAACTTGTGCCAGGATGTGTGTCTCCTCTTGCCAGCGTTTACCTGGATTGTCTGGCTGTTGGTGGATTAAAGAGATACGACTTGAACAAAGGGCATATCGAGCACTGTGGTCAGGATGACGAATTGCAGTATGTGTTGCCACATAAATGAGTTCTGGATTTGCTACTGATGACATAGTTTAGTGGAGGAGGTCTAAGGGATGATTGTGCTGAATGCTCCCAATCTCCACAAACACTGCCTTGGAAACACATTATCCTGTTAAATCATAAGCATGGCAGGACTAGCTAGCCTGTTCTCACCAGATCTTGGAGACTAAGCAGGATTGGTCCTGGCTAGTACTTGAATAGGGTGACCAAGGAAATGCAAGGTTGCTATGCAGAGGCAGGCAAGGGCAAACCACCTCTGTTCCTCTCCTGCTCCTCAAGCCATTCGAGGTCCTCAAGTATTTTATTTTCCCTGCAAATGTCTCCCCAAAATTATTAATCTCCTGTGCCTTTGATTTTTGAAGGTCTCAATCTTACTTATGTAGTAATGCTTAAAAGTCTGTTCAGTCTCTGAAGACGCTTTGAAATTCTCCTCCCCTTCCAGACAGCTTGTATGTGAGATCAAACAGCCCAACGCTTGTAAAAATGCCTCGTTGTGCTTGGTAACTAAGAGAACATGGTACTTCAAGCAGTCAGAGTATATAAACTGTATAATTTGTAGCAATATATCTTGATTGTTTGCATGGTGAAACTGACTAATGAGAAGATTTACCTAAAGTGAACTCTCAAACTGCAAAAGAAAAACAACACACATTTGTTCATATATTATTTCTTCCTTCCTTCCTTTTCTCTGAACCTTTACTGATACTTGATAAATGACTGATTAAGAATATAATCTGTAGTTACAAATATTGACTTATCTTTATGGTTTTAACTGATTAGTGAAAGTTAGAAGTTATGGTTGGTTTATTTGAAGCAATATGTTTTGGATATTTGTAATGTTCTAACTGATGGTTGATAAAAAAATTATAGGGTAGTTTTGACTCTTAAAGTGGGCCTTGTACGGAAAAAATAAAAGTAATGGGCTAATTACCTAGAGAAGGTGTAATGACCCTAAGTGTTGTGAGAGAAAAGAGGGATATAAAGGAGATTTTGAAAGCTAACAATACTAAAAATATGAAAGAATATCTTAAAGGGACTAGATTGATATTTTATAAGAAATGAACTGTCTAACTGCTGTGAAATACCTGTGGGTTTTTTCTTTTATATTTTTGATTGATTGATAATATTGATTAATTAATAATTAATTAATAAAATTGATTAATGGTAATAACAGATAGGATATAGAAAAATGAATTTTTTATTGGGAACAGAATTTTACTTAATGACATCTGTTGTGGACTATAGATTAACAAAGGGAAAAAGGGAATTATGTATCTAAAGATGTTATGAACGAGGCAATGGCGGGATACCTTTGAAGTGTATGGCTCTCTCTCTTTTTTTTGTATAACTCTTTAAAAAAACTAATAAACCTTGCCCACCAACAACAATGGGCAAGCAGAGAGAAAAAAAAGTATGTCTTTTTCTTTGTCTTCTTAGTTTGCTGGCATGTTTCTTGGTGTAGCTCTTATTTTTCTCTTGAGTTCAAAGAAAGCTTTTTTTTTTGGTAGCCTGCATCTGTCCCAATTACAGATTAGAAAGCAAATCAAAGTAGAATATTGCTTTGCATTCTGCTCATACCTAGTGTTACCCTGGTGAAGTTTCAGAGCACTTGGCTTGCCAGCCCTGGGTTGGGAAATACTTGGAGATTTTGTGGGTGGAGCCTGGGGGGTGGAGGGTCCTCAGCAGGATATAATGCCATACAGTCCACCCTCCAAGGCAGCCATGTTCCTCAGGGAAAGTGATGTAAGAAGATCAGTTCTAAAAGCTGGGGACCTCCAGGTTCCATCTGACGGTCAACAGCTCCACAGTGTACCTGCACAGACTTGGTTTGGTTGGGAGGAGCAGAGACAGTAAGCTTGTTTTGCAATACCTGCTCATAAGTGGCTATTGAGCAATTAGAGGTCCAAGTGCTTGACCACCTGAGCTGTGTTTCCAAGCCATGGCGAAATCCTTGGAAGTGGCTGGCCTAGAGGCTCCCCGGCAAACCCAAGCCAGTTCCATTGCCACTTTGCAGGCAGGTGTGACATCATCTGAACTGGCAGAAATTATTTGCTCCCTTGGTTGCAGGGATCAGGGAAGGTGTTGGCATACCCTGAGGTGGGGCAGCTGCTGCGGCCCAGGACTTCTGGTTGGGCCCACTGCCGCGGACCCCAACCCCCCAGCCTTGCACCTCCCCTGCCACCTGCTTGTCCCCACACTCCCAGCTGTCCAAAGTCATTGAGGAAGGACATGTGGGTGGTGCACAGTGGTGGCACTCCCCAAGTGATGTTGGGGAAAGGGTGTGCAGGTGTTAACAGGCCACAGAACCTGAAGGGCTTGCAAGCAGGAGGATGCACAGGTAGGTAGGGAGCATGCAGGTGTGGGGGGTGGAAAAGGGTAGGAGGGGCCTGGAGTTTGCCTAGGGAATGCCGGCCTGTGGTGGGACCTGAGGATTCCCCAGAATTAAAAGCTCGTCTCCAGATTACAGAGATCAGTTTTCCTAGAGAAAATGGGTGCTTTGGATTTTATGGCATTGTACCCCACTGAGGTCCCAAGGCTCCATCCCAAAATCTCTCAAGAGCTTCCCAACCTTCATCTGACAACTCTACCTCCCCACCCACCCACCCTACAGGTGGCCAGGGGAGACCTGGCAACTGTCTGCCCGGGGCCTCCCAAAACCTGGAACTTGCTCTGGTAGGAATTATTACTTGAAGTGACAAGCATGCATGTATGTGGGTGTCTTCGTGTTTTTCATGGTTTTACAACAGTAGCAGCAGACCTGGGCAGGAGAAAGTTTGGAAAGATTTGTAGAATTGCCACCTTAGCAGTTTTCAGCGCTAGTCTACAAAGGAAGTTACAAAATGCTGATGTAGAAAGGCGGCACCGTGCCCAGGAATGTTAGGCAGAATTACTGGGTGGCATCTTGACAAAGTACAAGTCTGAGCACCTGCATCCTCTCTGAAAGGATGGGGTTCTGAGGCCCAGAGATCCTGCAATGTACATTTCGAAGCTCCGATACAGGGAGACATCCAGCACCTTGCCTCAAGCTTTGCCAGCTGCAGCGAGCAGGGCTCCATTTTAATCCTGCCGCAGGTGAGGGAAGCATGCGGGTGAAGGGATATGCAAAAGAAGAGCAGGGGGCACAGAGTTTGCAGCCTATCTTCTAGGTAGGAGCTCTTACATCGCAAACTGGCACCCTTGGTAGGCTGAGCCTAGGAAGGGGTTAAGCAAAACAAAACAAAAAAAACCTGGGTCAACTCCCAGGAAGACTTTTTTGCATCCGGCCTTGAAATGTCCACCTGATTACCTATTGCATAATCCCCGTCTCCCTGGTCACTGCTTTCTTACCCTGCCCTAGCGTGTGGTGTTCTGAGGCCCACGCTGGGCAAGCCTGCTTCTAAAAGCAGCCGTTGGCAGCTGTCTTTCTGGGCGCCCACCCAGCAGCTAGCAGGGCAAGGGAAATTGGCACGGGCTACGGCAAGCCGAGGCCTGCTGCGGCGGCTGGATGAAGCCCTCGGCCTGCCCCCTGTCTTCCAGACGCTCCCCGCTGCAAAGACTTGACTGTGGGTACCCCGATGTACCTGGTGTTCCTGAGATTTGTGATGGGCCACCGCTGGCTATGCCTGGTGTTTGCTGTCCTTGCAGCTGCTCCCAACCACATGGGAGGCGACGTGCCTGTGACAGAGGTCCCTGTTGCCCGTCGGTGGGCACCATGTCTGCAGGACGAGAACCCAGAACCACAGGAGGAACACCTGGTGGTGCCCAACTTCAGCACTTGCATGCTACGTTGTGCCGCCCAAGCCATGCTCGGAATAGTCAACACCAAGCCCAGCACCTCACTGAAACTCAACGAAGGCAGGGAAGGTAAGAGAGATGATTCCCCCGCCAGTGGCAGGGGGGACCAGGCAACCCTGGGAGGGGAGCAGCCGTTGCAGCTGACTCCCGGCCCTGTAGCCTATTGGAGGGTGGCAGGGAGCAAGCCACGACTCCTCCCTGATGCGGTCTCTGCCCCAGCTCTTGGGGCATCATGGGAGCTTGGCTTGCTGGGCTCCTTGAAACAGCGTGAGAAGCTCCCCGGCATGGTCTCTTGCCCCACCATTAACGCACTATATAATTTTTGGCAAGGATGATTGGCATTTCAGGCGCTGGAAAAATGCCTGGGGAATGCTTTCCGGGGCGTGAGAAAATTGTGAAATATTATTGTTGCTCTTTTCTAAGGCAAAGGTGCAAATGTATCTGCGCTCTACCACTGCTGGGAACGTGGGCTCTTAGATGCCTCAGCTTTCAAATCTACAGTACAGAGATAGTCATGCTAACTTGTTGATACTAGAGCACTTCGTAGGGTTGCCAGATCTGGAGGTTTGGGGATGGAGCCTGGGGAGGACAAGGATCTCAGTGGGGTACAATGCCATAGAGTCCACCCTCCAAAGCATCCGTTTTCGGTAGGGAAACTCATCTCTGTAGTCTGGAGAGGAGCGGTAATTCCGGGGGATACCCAGGCCCCACCTGGAGGCTGGCATCCCTAGCGGGGGCAGGGAACAACAGAACAAAAATTGGGGGAAACGTTTTCTTCTGAGGCTCTTTTTTCAATTTTCCTGATAGAAAAATTGGAAATTTGAGGAAGTGTTGAAAAAAAATTCTTATGAAATATTTTCTCTTTTCAAATGAGCGAAATATTTATAAAGACAAGGTGGGCATGCTGTAGACATAACTCTTAAATCTAAGGAGGGTGCATAATCTTCATTAGGGGGGAACATGGCATGGCTTTCATCGCTTCTGAACAGGGGCAGGACTCCTGTTGTCTTTTTGTCCTGATGTGCTTGATCTTGTGGTTGAGGTTTTCACCTCTCCCTCAACCCACAGACTGGGTAAAAAGTAGCTTATTGCTCTACCTTTCAGAGGGGGCAAAAAAGATCAGAAGGAGGTGGGGCAGAAACGGCACCAAAGCCTCAGAGGAAAACTGAAAGCTTCACTGAGAATTTCATTGAGAATTTATTTTAAAAAATTAAGGTATGTGTGCTAAGTCAGCATAGGGTGCATCAGCCTGCAATTTTCTCTCAAGTATTGGGTATATTTGCAATTCTGTTTGTACAAGACTAAGGCAATTATGTTGTTAAAGCAGTAAAATTAGTTTAGATTCAACAACTATGTAAGTATTGCATGTATTTCAATTTCCCCCAAAATTTCTGCTCCCCCTGAAGAGGGGGGGGGCAAATTCCCCCCCCCATGGCATCAACATTTCCAGAAAGTTTACATTAGAAGAAGAAGAGATTGGATTTATACCCCACCCTTCACTCCATCCAGCAGCTGCAAGTGGAGGAGTGGGGAATCAAACCCGGTTCTCCCAGATTTAGAGTCTGCACACTTAACCACTACACCAAACTGGCTACCACTAGTGACGGGATTGTTGTAAGGATTAAGCTGAAGGAACTATAGTTCAGTGCTGGGGTACCTGTGGATCCAGGTTCAGATTTGGTATCTGCAGTGACAGGATCCCAAGTAGCAGGTGTTCAGGAGAGACAGTTAATACAGAGCCACTTTTTAGGGTATCCCGTTCTTAGCTAGGGTTTCCAGAAGTCCTCTTTTTAGAGGACATCTCTTTTGTTGGTGTCTGTCCTCTTTGGGGCTCTTTTTTAAAAACTGATGAAAATGTCATCTTTTTTGGGTTGGAAGGTTAGGAATATTCCTAGTTAGTAGCAGTTATCACTGCCTAAATGGTAGGGGTATTTCAAATGAGATATGTTACATTAATCATTTGTCTGAAATAGAAGAAGAAGAGATTGGATTTATACCCCACCCTTCACTTGCAGTCTCAGAGCAGCTCACAAACTCTGTTTCCTTCCCCTCCCCACAACAGACACCCTGTGAGGTAGGTGGGGCTGAAAGAGCTCTTTCAAGGACTGCTCTTGAGAGAACAGCTCTGAGAGAACTTGTGACTGACCCAAGGTCATACCAGCAGCTGCATGTAGAGGAGTGGGGAATCACACCCACACTCTTAACCACTATACTAAACTGGCTCTCGGTCAGGAAATATGTCCTCTTTTTGCTTTTCAAAATATGGTAAATCTGTAAAGCTCAGTGGGTCCATCATACTCTCTCGGACAAGCCCACTCTACAGGGCTGTTTGATGATAAAACACAGGCAAGGAGAGAACGACATACCATGGAGGAATGATGACAATGTGATATAATAGGCAACAGTGAGTGAGGTAGACCAGTCAGTTCAGTCTCGTAATACCATTTGTGAGGGCCCTATTAATCTGGTAAATTTCCCCTCTTCCTTGACAGGTGAAGATCACGAATTCTGCTGGATGCTGCGTCTCCGCTGCCAGAAGGGAGAGAGGCTCACCAAGGCCTTCATCCTCCTAAACTTGGAGCAGCCTAGAGATAGGGTTCAGCCACCTCCCTACAGGTTGCTCCTCACCGCCCCTCCCTCGCTACGCCTGCATGTGCGAGCCCACCACGGCAGCCGTGCCATGAGGCTGCTTCCAGAAGAAGCCTGCGGCATGCGCTTTGATGTGACTGAGCCCTTCCGTAGTGCTGAAGGGGGGCAGGCTGCAGAGATGTGCGTCAGGGCCATCTGTCCTGTAGACGATACCTGCAGCAGCTTGTCTTTGGGATTCCGGTGCCCACCCTTCCTGGCTACATTGTGGCGTAGTGTACCTCGGCCTGATGGCTAGGCGACAGAAAGGCAGGCCAGGCTTGCTTCATGATGGAGGGAGGCCTAGCATCTCTTGGGAGCAGATGGTGAGGGGAGAGGGCACTAATTCACACGCACAGACCCATGCTCAGAAGTATTGTAAGAGACTGAAAAACCCTGTGAAGGTGGTGGTGTTAGCACTCCTTGTCAAGACTGGGGAGAGGACCCATGAAAGGGGATGGTTATTGTTTCTTGTTCAGTCATTGAGCCATTGACGGTGGGTGGGACGCTGGGGTTACCTCATTTGCTAGAACTGTTACCTTCCCATTCTCCCACCTTTACCTGGCTGAATCGTGGTGTCCAGTTCCCTATGTCACTTTCCTCTCAATCCATTCCTTTGTTCTCTTAGGCCTTTTTTTGATTAACTCTTGGAAGACTACTGCTATTGATAAGGTCTGAACTAAATGTTATCCCCAGGTACCTGAAGTGGAAGAGGCGAAAGCTTTGTAATACAGCCAAATCTCCTACTGTGTGAGGCTTTTAGAATAAACCAGCTAAGCCTCTAGAGTAGAATTTTCTGCTACCCAGTGTTTTAGACTCTCACCTCACTCAGGATATCTGCACTGCTACATGGAGTTATCCAAGAAAGTAAATAAGGTTCTCTGATTAACATAGAAAAGTACCAAAAGTGTTACATGTTTTAGGCACTCCATTCCACCTTAATAACCAATACAAAGCAGTACAGAAATCAAACAGAATGAGATGTAAATTTAGGCCAGGGCTTCCAAATAGCTCTGCGTAAAACAGAACAGTTAGATTTGAGTTCAGAGAATTTTGGGATGAGCAAAACAGAGTAATCTTAAACAAGAAAAAGGAACCTATTCAAGAAGCTTAAAAGATGGCATAAAAGAAAGTGCCCTGTTCCGATTTGGATGATAAAAGGTAAATGAAACCAGCTCTACAACTTGCATTGTTATTGATCTATGTTACTGATCTTGTCTAGCTTCAAAGCGAGGGTTGTTCTCAGGCAGGACAGGTTCCAATGAGATAGCACCATTAATAGGTACATTCAAACACTTGGGCAATTAACAGTCCATAAAAACAGCAGCAACAGGAGCCAACACCAGCATAAGATCTCAAAATGCATCCTGCAAATCATACCTCAATGCAAACAATAACAGTAATTAAGTTTATCTGGCAAAGAAATTCAAGGTATGGTCTATCTTCCAGTGTCCACCAGGCTGTGTACTTTTTAATCGTTACATGATCAACAGAAATTCTACAGGTGTTGCTTTTCCTGTTGCTGCATCTTTATGGTGTGATGAAAAGCAGGTGTGTGTCCAATACACATAGGAGTGTGTATATGGTTAATCACTATGTATATATCTTGTTGTTGTTTTTTTAAATATGCCTTAAAAACTCATGATATTGTTGCTGAAAGGGAAAGGGAACCTTCTTATCCAGGACATATGCCAGGGCATATCCATGGGAAAAATTAGTACAATGAAAAACCTATAATTCAATTAGGATACTGGCTTTTTTTCCTGATGGGGTCTCCTGTATCCAAAATTCCATTTCAGAGGCTAAGATGAAAGCATTGGTTTTGTCGTTTGCATGATGACTATTGAAAGAACAGGAGGTATGGGGTCAGGAAAGCTATAGAGATAATAGTGGATACTGAGTTTAATGGGCAGGTAGTGTAGGGATGGACTACAGCCTCACCATATGCCTGACCTTCCTCGCCTGTTTGTTTTGTGCTGTTATATTTCCAGTGATATGAACAGGCACTTCTCATTGATGCACATTTGAATAAGACTTTATGCCTCTATATTTAAGAGTATCAGGTATCAGCTAAGAATCTCCAGTTTGCATCTCAGTTCAACAATAAATATCCTGGTGTGTAAAATTGTTTGTGTGTTTAGTGTCATCAAGATACTGCCGACTTAGGTGACCCTATGAATGCCTTCCAAAACATCCTATTGTTAACAGACTTGCTCCAGTCTTGTAAACTGGGGGCCATGGCTTCATTTATTAAGTCAATCCATCTCACATTGGGTCTTCCTCTGTTCTTGCTGCTTTCAACTTTTCCTAGCATTATTGTCTTTTCCAATGAGCCTGGTCTTCTCATGATGTGACCAAAGCACAATAGCTTCAGTTTAGTCACTTCAGCTTCTAGGGAAAATTCAGGCTTGACTTAAAAAAAAAAAAGGGTTTTATTGAAAATTTAACATCAGATACAGTGACAAACTGTCATAAACATATGAGATCATAGTACATAATCAAGTATCAATAAATTAACATGGTAAAACATATATAACAAAATTCTGATCAAAAAGGTCTTTGTTTTGAGCAATAAAATTTAAAACAGGGTACAAAAAATTATAATAATCAAGAGAGGCAGAGTAAGGGTCTTTATTTGAGGTTTGTATCAGTATCCTTTCCATTGTGAGATATTTCCATATGTTCCTCAGTCTTGTTGGCAGTCCACAGTATCCATAAAATTCTCTTCCACCAACACTTCAAATGAGTCGACTTTCTTCCTGTCAGGTGTCTTCAACTTTTACATCCATACATAGTAATAGGGAATAAAGGTTAGGCAAGTTGTCTCCTTTTAAACTGGTAAACTGTGAGTAGTGCATTAATTTACATCAGTCAGGAGAAAAGTCAAAGGCGCTCTTTGTAATCAAATATAATAATAAGTATGTAGTAGCACCATTTTTTTAAAAAGTTAAATAAACTTGGAAAAAGAGCAAGAGTCCAGTAGCAGACTAACAAAATATGTGGCAGGGTATGAGCTTTCACGAGTCACTGCTCACTTCTTCAGATACAGCTAGAATGGGAGTCCATCTGTCTTATTTATTGGAAAGTAGAGCGATTTCAGATGTCTAATAACATTAGCAGGCAATCAGCATTGGTAATGAACCAGGAAACCTAGGTCTCGATTCAATCCAGGTGGATCCATTGTCTTGAGCTTCTGATCATGCCTGCTATTGTCATTTGCCTCCTAAGGCATCTGAAATCACTGAAATAGGACAGATGAACTCCCATTCTAGTTGTATCTGAAGAAGTGAGCAGTGACTGCCACATATTTTGTTAGCCTTTTAAGGTGCTACTGGACTCTTGTTCTTTTTTATTACTGCAGACAGATTAACATGGCTACCCATCTCGATGAAAAATTGCAAATAAAGGGGGACAGAGTGCCGCGCAAGATGGCAGACGCGATCTGAAAGAGCTCCCAGCCGGAATCTCCCAAAATCGACTGAAAATCGTGATATCCCTTACGCAAAAAGACTAAAAGTTATGGGAAAGCCCTCTAAAGGAAAGGCAGCAAAAAACTCTCAGCACACTGCAATAGTAAGAACATACTTTACCCGTGACGCAGCAACCAACTTAATCGACACCCAGAAAGACAGAGCCAGTAAAATGGCGGCGGGCAGGGGTCATTTCGTAGAAAAAGAGGTGCAGGAGCTCATTAGCATAACTCATTAGTGATTGACTGCAATTGAGAGGAAAAGGAAGGGGCATTGTTTTGCATGTGATTGAGTGCCTGGGTGCATTTGAATAGCTGCTGCCAGCCCTCTGCTGGGGGAGGCCTCTATTTAAGGAAACACCTGGCCAGAGGCAGAGGAGACCCAGCTGAGCTCTGAGCAGGAGCAGGAGCAGGAGACAGAGGGGTGAGTGGTTTTTTATTTGCTTTCAGCGGAGAGGATCCAGCTGAGGATTTTGGTGGGAGAACTGGTCTGGGAGTGTGTGGAAGCGCTTGGAGTTTTTGCAGATTCCTGGCTGCTTGAGAGAGGAAAGGGCATTGTTTGACTGTGATTGACTGCAATTGAGAGGAAAAGGAAGGGGCATTGTTTTGCATGTGATTGAGTGCCTGGGTGCATTTGAATAGCTGCTGCCAGCCCTCTGCTGGGGGAGGCCTCTATTTAAGGAAACACCTGGCCAGAGGCAGAGGAGACCCAGCTGAGCTCTGAGCAGGAGCAGGAGCAGGAGACAGAGGGGTGAGTGGTTTTTTATTTGCTTTCAGCGGAGAGGATCCAGCTGAGGAGTTTGGTGGGAGAACTGGTCTGGGAGTGTGTGGAAGCGCTTGGAGTTTTTGCAGATTCCTGGCTGCTTGAGAGAGGAAAGGGCATTGTTTGACTGTGATTGACTGCAATTGAGAGGAAAAGGAAGGGGCATTGTTTTGCATGTGATTGAGTGCCTGGGTGCATTTGAATAGCTGCTGCCAGCACTCTGCTGGGGGAGGCCTCTATTTAAGGAAACACCTGGCCAGAGGCAGAGGAGACCCAGCTGAGCTCTGAGCAGGAACAGGAGCAGGAGACAGAAGGGTGAGTGGTTTTTTATTTGCTTTCAGCGGAGAGGATCCAGCTGAGGATTTTGGTGGGAGAACTGGTCTGGGAGTGTGTGGAAGCGCTTGGAGTTTTTGCAGATTCCTGGCTGCTTGAGAGAGGAAAGGGCATTGTTTGACTGTGATTGACTGCAATTGAGAGGAAAAGGAAGGGGCATTGTTTTGCATGTGATTGAGTGCCTGGGTGCATTTGAATAGCTGCTGCCAGCACTCTGCTGGGGGAGGCCTCTATTTAAGGAAACACCTGGCCAGAGGCAGAGGAGACCCAGCTGAGCTCTGAGCAGGAACAGGAGCAGGAGACAGAAGGGTGAGTGGTTTTTTATTTGCTTTCAGCGGAGAGGATCCAGCTGAGGATTTTGGTGGGAGAACTGGTCTGGGAGTGTGTGGAAGCGCTTGGAGTTTTTGCAGATTCCTGGCTGCTTGAGAGAGGAAAGGGCATTGTTTGACTGTGATTGACTGCAATTGAGAGGAAAAGGAAGGGGCATTGTTTTGCATGTGATTGAGTGCCTGGGTGCATTTGAATAGCTGCTGCCAGCACTCTGCTGGGGGAGGCCTCTATTTAAGGAAACACCTGGCCAGAGGCAGAGGAGACCCAGCTGAGCTCTGAGCAGGAACAGGAGCAGGAGACAGAAGGGTGAGTGGTTTTTTATTTGCTTTCAGCGGAGAGGATCCAGCTGAGGATTTTGGTGGGAGAACTGGTCTGGGAGTGTGTGGAAGCGCTTGGAGTTTTTGCAGATTCCTGGCTGCTTGAGAGAGGAAAGGGCATTGTTTGACTGTGATTGACTGCAATTGAGAGGAAAAGGAAGGGGCATTGTTTTGCATGTGATTGAGTGCCTGGGTGCATTTGAATAGCTGCTGCCAGCACTCTGCTGGGGGAGGCCTCTATTTAAGGAAACACCTGGCCAGAGGCAGAGGAGACCCAGCTGAGCTCTGAGCAGGAACAGGAGCAGGAGACAGAAGGGTGAGTGGTTTTTTATTTGCTTTCAGCGGAGAGGATCCAGCTGAGGATTTTGGTGGGAGAACTGGTCTGGGAGTGTGTGGAAGCGCTTGGAGTTTTTGCAGATTCCTGGCTGCTTGAGAGAGGAAAGGGCATTGTTTGACTGTGATTGACTGCAATTGAGAGGAAAAGGAAGGGGCATTGTTTTGCATGTGATTGAGTGCCTGGGTGCATTTGAATAGCTGCTGCCAGCACTCTGCTGGGGGAGGCCTCTATTTAAGGAAACACCTGGCCAGAGGCAGAGGAGACCCAGCTGAGCTCTGAGCAGGAACAGGAGCAGGAGACAGAAGGGTGAGTGGTTTTTTATTTGCTTTCAGCGGAGAGGATCCAGCTGAGGATTTTGGTGGGAGAACTGGTCTGGGAGTGTGTGGAAGCGCTTGGAGTTTTTGCAGATTCCTGGCTGCTTGAGAGAGGAAAGGGCATTGTTTGACTGTGATTGACTGCAATTGAGAGGAAAAGGAAGGGGCATTGTTTTGCATGTGATTGAGTGCCTGGGTGCATTTGAATAGCTGCTGCCAGCACTCTGCTGGGGGAGGCCTCTATTTAAGGAAACACCTGGCCAGAGGCAGAGGAGACCCAGCTGAGCTCTGAGCAGGAACAGGAGCAGGAGACAGAAGGGTGAGTGGTTTTTTATTTGCTTTCAGCGGAGAGGATCCAGCTGAGGATTTTGGTGGGAGAACTGGTCTGGGAGTGTGTGGAAGCGCTTGGAGTTTTTGCAGATTCCTGGCTGCTTGAGAGAGGAAAGGGCATTGTTTGACTGTGATTGACTGCAATTGAGAGGAAAAGGAAGGGGCATTGTTTTGCATGTGATTGAGTGCCTGGGTGCATTTGAATAGCTGCTGCCAGCACTCTGCTGGGGGAGGCCTCTATTTAAGGAAACACCTGGCCAGAGGCAGAGGAGACCCAGCTGAGCTCTGAGCAGGAACAGGAGCAGGAGACAGAAGGGTGAGTGGTTTTTTATTTGCTTTCAGCGGAGAGGATCCAGCTGAGGATTTTGGTGGGAGAACTGGTCTGGGAGTGTGTGGAAGCGCTTGGAGTTTTTGCAGATTCCTGGCTGCTTGAGAGAGGAAAGGGCATTGTTTGACTGTGATTGACTGCAATTGAGAGGAAAAGGAAGGGGCATTGTTTTGCATGTGATTGAGTGCCTGGGTGCATTTGAATAGCTGCTGCCAGCACTCTGCTGGGGGAGGCCTCTATTTAAGGAAACACCTGGCCAGAGGCAGAGGAGACCCAGCTGAGCTCTGAGCAGGAACAGGAGCAGGAGACAGAAGGGTGAGTGGTTTTTTATTTGCTTTCAGCGGAGAGGATCCAGCTGAGGATTTTGGTGGGAGAACTGGTCTGGGAGTGTGTGGAAGCGCTTGGAGTTTTTGCAGATTCCTGGCTGCTTGAGAGAGGAAAGGGCATTGTTTGACTGTGATTGACTGCAATTGAGAGGAAAAGGAAGGGGCATTGTTTTGCATGTGATTGAGTGCCTGGGTGCATTTGAATAGCTGCTGCCAGCACTCTGCTGGGGGAGGCCTCTATTTAAGGAAACACCTGGCCAGAGGCAGAGGAGACCCAGCTGAGCTCTGAGCAGGAACAGGAGCAGGAGACAGAAGGGTGAGTGGTTTTTTATTTGCTTTCAGCGGAGAGGATCCAGCTGAGGATTTTGGTGGGAGAACTGGTCTGGGAGTGTGTGGAAGCGCTTGGAGTTTTTGCAGATTCCTGGCTGCTTGAGAGAGGAAAGGGCATTGTTTGACTGTGATTGACTGCAATTGAGAGGAAAAGGAAGGGGCATTGTTTTGCATGTGATTGAGTGCCTGGGTGCATTTGAATAGCTGCTGCCAGCACTCTGCTGGGGGAGGCCTCTATTTAAGGAAACACCTGGCCAGAGGCAGAGGAGACCCAGCTGAGCTCTGAGCAGGAACAGGAGCAGGAGACAGAAGGGTGAGTGGTTTTTTATTTGCTTTCAGCGGAGAGGATCCAGCTGAGGATTTTGGTGGGAGAACTGGTCTGGGAGTGTGTGGAAGCGCTTGGAGTTTTTGCAGATTCCTGGCTGCTTGAGAGAGGAAAGGGCATTGTTTGACTGTGATTGACTGCAATTGAGAGGAAAAGGAAGGGGCATTGTTTTGCATGTGATTGAGTGCCTGGGTGCATTTGAATAGCTGCTGCCAGCACTCTGCTGGGGGAGGCCTCTATTTAAGGAAACACCTGGCCAGAGGCAGAGGAGACCCAGCTGAGCTCTGAGCAGGAACAGGAGCAGGAGACAGAAGGGTGAGTGGTTTTTTATTTGCTTTCAGCGGAGAGGATCCAGCTGAGGATTTTGGTGGGAGAACTGGTCTGGGAGTGTGTGGAAGCGCTTGGAGTTTTTGCAGATTCCTGGCTGCTTGAGAGAGGAAAGGGCATTGTTTGACTGTGATTGACTGCAATTGAGAGGAAAAGGAAGGGGCATTGTTTTGCATGTGATTGAGTGCCTGGGTGCATTTGAATAGCTGCTGCCAGCACTCTGCTGGGGGAGGCCTCTATTTAAGGAAACACCTGGCCAGAGGCAGAGGAGACCCAGCTGAGCTCTGAGCAGGAACAGGAGCAGGAGACAGAAGGGTGAGTGGTTTTTTATTTGCTTTCAGCGGAGAGGATCCAGCTGAGGATTTTGGTGGGAGAACTGGTCTGGGAGTGTGTGGAAGCGCTTGGAGTTTTTGCAGATTCCTGGCTGCTTGAGAGAGGAAAGGGCATTGTTTGACTGTGATTGACTGCAATTGAGAGGAAAAGGAAGGGGCATTGTTTTGCATGTGATTGAGTGCCTGGGTGCATTTGAATAGCTGCTGCCAGCACTCTGCTGGGGGAGGCCTCTATTTAAGGAAACACCTGGCCAGAGGCAGAGGAGACCCAGCTGAGCTCTGAGCAGGAACAGGAGCAGGAGACAGAAGGGTGAGTGGTTTTTTATTTGCTTTCAGCGGAGAGGATCCAGCTGAGGATTTTGGTGGGAGAACTGGTCTGGGAGTGTGTGGAAGCGCTTGGAGTTTTTGCAGATTCCTGGCTGCTTGAGAGAGGAAAGGGCATTGTTTGACTGTGATTGACTGCAATTGAGAGGAAAAGGAAGGGGCATTGTTTTGCATGTGATTGAGTGCCTGGGTGCATTTGAATAGCTGCTGCCAGCACTCTGCTGGGGGAGGCCTCTATTTAAGGAAACACCTGGCCAGAGGCAGAGGAGACCCAGCTGAGCTCTGAGCAGGAACAGGAGCAGGAGACAGAAGGGTGAGTGGTTTTTTATTTGCTTTCAGCGGAGAGGATCCAGCTGAGGATTTTGGTGGGAGAACTGGTCTGGGAGTGTGTGGAAGCGCTTGGAGTTTTTGCAGATTCCTGGCTGCTTGAGAGAGGAAAGGGCATTGTTTGACTGTGATTGACTGCAATTGAGAGGAAAAGGAAGGGGCATTGTTTTGCATGTGATTGAGTGCCTGGGTGCATTTGAATAGCTGCTGCCAGCACTCTGCTGGGGGAGGCCTCTATTTAAGGAAACACCTGGCCAGAGGCAGAGGAGACCCAGCTGAGCTCTGAGCAGGAACAGGAGCAGGAGACAGAAGGGTGAGTGGTTTTTTATTTGCTTTCAGCGGAGAGGATCCAGCTGAGGATTTTGGTGGGAGAACTGGTCTGGGAGTGTGTGGAAGCGCTTGGAGTTTTTGCAGATTCCTGGCTGCTTGAGAGAGGAAAGGGCATTGTTTGACTGTGATTGACTGCAAGCCCCCTGGGCTCTTTACTGCCGGAGCTCTGCTCCTGTGCGCTCCTGCAGGAAATGACCCCTGGCGGCGGGAAGCTCAGCCGTGACTATACCCACCCAGGTGGAGGAAAACACACCGATCACAAGGAACGATCTCCAGGAATTAAAAGATGACCTACTGAAATCACTTGCATCGTTAGTCACAGAGATCATTCAGCCACTCCAATCCCAATTGAACGACCTAGTACAGGACTTGAACGATAAAGCTAAAATAGCTGAAAATAACGCAGAACTGACTCTGATGTTGCAAGAAGAATTGAAGGCCGCCAAAACCTCAGAAAAACAAACTAACGCTCGGCTTTCGTCTCTGGAACATCGTTGGAAGCAGATGAACCTAAAATTTAGATGGGTCAAGGAGGGTGCGTTGGAGGGGAAAGACCCTGCACATTTTATCTCATCCTGGCTGGTGACAGTACTGGAAATGGAAGAAGGTAAGGCCCCGATCATCTTAAAAGCCTATCGTTTAGGCCCATTAGCTACTGCAAGGAAGGGCCGTCCACAAGATATTATGGCACAATTCCTATATCCCAAAACACGAGACAAAATTATTAGAGAGGCCAGAATTCATGGATCCCTGCTTTATAAGGAGGACAAAGTTATGGCGCAATTCCTATATCCCAAAACACAAGACAAAATGGATCCCTGCTTTATAAGGAGGACAAAATACAAGCTCTACTTGATTTGTCTGTGGAAACTTTAGATAAAAAAAGAAATCTCAAACTCTTTGCCACCAAACTGTTTAAAGCGAATATAAGTTTCCGTTGGGGCCCTGCATCTGACATCCAGGTTTACAGAAATGGCATACTACATCAAGCAATAGATGCAACCTCTAGAAAAGCCCTTTCATCCGCCCTGGGATTGCAACTCACTCCAGAAGAAGAACAAACTCTTTTGACCCAATGAAATTAATCGGACAACCAATAGGATTAAATATACAGCAAATGTTAAATTGATAAAGTTATACTATTATACTAATCCTTGTAACAAAAATTTTGTTGAAATAGTTACATATATACTCAAGGTTTATAGTTATACTGGTTATGAATATTTCGGAAATTATTACTAACCTGTTCAAAGCTTTGATAATTCATTAAAAAAATTAAATTAAAAATTATATATACATATATATACATATATAAATACTAAAAATAAATTAAAAATGAAGTAGTTAAAAGACTATCAAGACAAATGTCGGATGTCATCTCGATACTATTGATGGCTGCTAAGAACTTAATAGCATTGAATTGGAAAGTAAACAATATCCCTACAATAACCCAATGGAGAACAAAGATATGGGATATGGTCCTCTCCGACAAAATTGCAATGCAACTTATAACGCAAGACAACCCTAATATTGAAAACAACTTTCTGGAAAAATGTTTTGTCTTCTTTGAATATATTGCAGACTGTCAACCACAGACATTCAACCTACCACAGAAATATAAAGACTTTGCTTTCTACTAGTACAAATTTGGACTGTATATAAGTTTTTTGTGGTTTATATTTAGTTTAAAATGTTATTGCAAAGTTTGGAAATATTTTATTTTTACGTCTTATAGTTATATATAAAAATGTAATAAAAAGTTATTTGCAAAAAAAGGAATTGCAAATAAAACCACTGTGCTGTGTATTGTAAGTACATGAAACAATTTCTGTTTTAATTACTACTTTGGATGGATGGGAGAAGCGAAGCACAACTCCCTATCTCTGTAATTTCGAAACGAAAGTCTGCACTAACTGAAATTTGCTCAGTCCAACAATCTTTCTTTTATAGGAAACATGAGCTGATTCAATTTCTTTTTCCCCATTTTAAGGATTATATAAGGTCCTCCATAGTATTGTAAACGTGAATGTAGCTAGGACGCGTCACGAATTTGGACTTTCTTCTGAGTAAATAAGGTTAGGTTCGGGCTGTCAGGCTCTCCTAAACACGCTCACCTGGGTGTACATACCATTAGGTTAAATTATTATGCATAAGGTCCTTTTATTACAGTTGCTTGCTTTCAGTAAATAGAGAGACCCACAGGAACTGAAATTGGGGGAACCAAGAGAAGATGGACGTAAATCGCCTGTGGGAGCGCTAGGAGTGTAACACGGAAAACAGTCATGCTGTCCACTCGGAGGCCGCGTTGTGCTCATTTTGTTCCGGAGTTCCAATCCAAAGGGTCCGGCTTGAAACAGTTCCGGATCGGTCAGTTGCTGGCAATTAGAGGCGGAGCGAAGATAGAAATGGCGTCTCCTGCTCGGGGTAACCACGTGTGGGTGGGATCCGAGACGGGTATTTTGAAAGGTAATGCGGCCTGCGGGTGCCGAGTGGGGGAACGGGTGGTGGGTCCTTACGGCTGAGAGTTACTTAGGAAGGCAAGGGGAATGGTTATGAATCAGTGGCAGGTCGGACGAAAGGAGAGTGGAAAGATCGTTGGTGGCAGGCTGTGATCATTTGTAGAGTTGAGTGAAGGAGTGATATCGGAGTGAGTGTAGGCTGGAAGGAGAGGAGGTTTCTGAGATAGGGAGAAGGATGTTACATGGAATGTCATAGGGTTGCCGGGTTCAAGGTGCTGCCAGGAGATCTCCCGATATTAGAGTAGATTCCCCAAACAACAGAGATAAGTTTCCCCGGAAAAGGTGGCTGCTTCAGAGAGTGGAATGTATGGCATTATACCCAGCTCAGTTGCCATCCTTCCCCAAACTCTGCCCTTCCCAGACTCTCCCCACCCATTTCTCCCCCCCCCCCAGGAGTTTCCCAACCCAGAGTTGACAATCCTAGGTTTACTTACCGGAAGCATCATACTGACTGCTGAGGCAAACAGGATAGATCTATGGTCTAATCCAGTAGGACACTGATATATTTCGGGGGGTATTTGCAGAAGTCTTTGAGAGGACATGTAAAGGGAGATATGTGGGGAAGCTTATGCAGGAGACAGTGTCTTGGTGAAAGACTTTGTAGACTCTTTTGTGTTGTCAGCTTTCTAGCTGGCCTCTAAAGCTGTGCCCTTCTGCAGTTACTAGCAGGCTGTGAGAAAATGCACCTGTAATTCATACAGGTCAAGCACATGTCACATGGGATGGCCATAGTGTCAGTTAATAAGTTACCAACCTTACCTTATAGAAGGGCTGGAAAAACAACAGATTTGATCACTGAAGCAAGGCCTTCTGCAGGTGCGAACCTGCAAATGGGCAAAATCAATAGCTGCCCATACATGTACCTTCTCTGTTGTGGCTCTAACCTTGTGGAATGTACCTTCTCTGTTGTGGCTCTAACCTCTGTTGTGGCTCTAACCTCCACAAATGGCCTGCCTGAGTTTCCACAATGATAGGGTTTCCACAGTGATAGGGAAATGGCTGAGAAGTTGACTGCCTTTTTTGCCTCTGTCTCTAATGTGGAAGATGAGAAGTGCTTGCCCACTCCAGAACCGCTGATTTCTGAAGGGGTGTTGAAAGACCTGAGTCAGATTGAGGTGACGAGAGAGGAGGTCCTAAAACTGATAGACAACTTAAAAACTGATAAATCACCAGGCCCGGATGGCATACATCAGAGAGTTCTGAAAGAACTCAAATGTGAACTTGTGGATCTCCTGACAAAAATATGTAATCTTTCCTTAAAATCTGCCTCCATTCCTGAGGACTGGAAGGTAGCTAATGTCACTCCCACCTTTAAAAGGAGTTCCAGAGGAGAACCGGGAAATTACAGGCCAGTCAGTCTGACGTGGATACCATTTAAGTTGGTGGAAACTGTTAAGGAAAGAATTAGTAAGCACATTGATGAACAAAAACTAATCAGGCAGAATCAGCATGGGTTCTATAAGGGAAGATCTTGTCTCACTAACCTGTTAGTGTTCTTTGAGGGAGTGAACAAACATGTGGACAAGGGGGGACCCAATAGATGTTCACCTTGACTTCCAGAAAGCTTTTGATAAAGTTCCTCATTAAAGGCTCCTAAATAAGCTCAAAAATCATGGGATAAAAGGACAAGTCCTTTTATGGATCAAAAACTGGCTAATTAATAGAAAACAGAGAGTGAGTATAAATGGGCAGTTCTCCCAGTGGAGGGGGGTAAGCAGTGGGGTACCACAGGGATCAGTACTTGGTCCACTGCTTTTTAACTTGTTCATTAATGATTTGGAGTTGGGAGTAAGCAGTGAAGTGGCTAAATTTGCAGATGATACGAAGTTGTTCAGGGTGGTGAAAACCAGTGAGGATTGTGAGGCACTCCAAAGGGATCTGTCAAAGATGGGCAAGTGGGCGTCAACATGGCAAATGGGGTTCAATGTGGCCAAGTGCAAGGTGATGCACATTGGAGCCAAAATTTGGAGTACTGTGTACAGTTCTGGTCACCACACCTTAAAAAGGATATTATAGCTTTGGAAAAAGTGCAGAAAAGGGCAACTAGAATGATAAAAGGGTTGGAACACTTTCCCTGTGAAGAAAGGTTAAAACACTTGGGGCTCTTTAGCTTGGAGAAACGATGGCTGAGGGGTGACATGATCGAGGTTTATAAGATTATGCATGGGATAGAACAGGTAGAGAAAGAAGTACGTTTCTCCCTTTCTCACAATACAAGAACTTGTGGGCACTCAGTGAAATTGCTGAGCAGTAAGGTTAGAAGAGGTAAAAGGAAGTACTTCTTCACCCAAGAGTGATTAACACATGGAATTCACTGCCACAGGAGGTGGCGGCAGCTACAAGCGGGAATTGGATAAGCATATGAAGCAGAGGTCCATCAGTGCCTATTAGATAGGAACTCTGAGGCAAGTGATGCTCTGTATTCCTGGGTGCTTGGGGGGGGGCAACAGTGGGAGGGCTTCAGGAGGTGTCCTGGCCCCACTGCTGGATCTCCTGATGGCACCTGGTATTTTTGGCCACTGTGTGACAGAGTGTCAGACTGGATGGGCCACTGGCCTGATCCAACATTGGCTTCTCTTATGTTCTTATGTTCAGTGGGGTAGCACTGGACAGAACAATTTCATAGAGTTACTTGGATATATTATTAGGGACTGTGGTCTTTACTATTGTGTATCTCTTGCTGAAACAAGGATGCTAGTATGTGATTTTTGCATCATTTAATGTGTCATGTTAATACTTATACTTTGCTTAAGTTCTGCTTTCTAGATTTCTGGTTGGTTCTATAACCCTAATCTTATTGCCTTGTTTATTGAGTGTCCCGTCCTGTAGATTGTATTGACTCACTCTGTGTAATTTGCTTTGAGTCCGAGTGAGAAAGATGGGCTATAAATAACATAAATAAATAAAAACCCACGAATCTGCGAGTGGCATGAGGGGGTCTGTCATTCCCCACTGTTTCCTCAGCCTGGTGAATTATGCTGAAAGCTTGTTTTCATCTAATTTTGTCTTCCAGGTGGTAATATATTTGCTTCTCTTTTTCTCTTTCCTTTTAGGCATCAACCTACAGAAGAAGCAAGCTACAAACTATAAGTTTGGAGATGCAGTGCTCAGTCGACATGAAGCTGTTACCACCATGTGTTGGGGGGATCCTTATGAGTCTGAGGTGATGATATAGGACCTGAGGAGCCATAATAGATCAGACCAAAAGTCCCTCTAATCCAATATCCTGTCTCCCACAGTGGATAGTCATTAGGCAGATCATGAGAGGGAGGACAGGAAGGGTTGCATCAGTGCTTATTTCTTGTGGCCCTTTCTTACACGCCCAGGGAAATGCTGATCGCCACTTTGGGTCAGGAAGCAATTTTTGGTTCCAGTATGCATCACTTTGCACTTGGCCATATTGAACCCCATTTGCCACGTTGATGCCCACTCGCCCATCCTTGACAAATCCCTTTGGACAGATCCCCCAGCACAGATCGTTAAAACAAACTAAAATCAGAGTTAAAATATGTGCAAAGACATAACAACAGCAATTAAAAGATTGGTCAGGAAGGACAAATCATTGCCAAACAAAACAAAAAAAGTCTGATGGAAGATGGTAACAGAAGGGAACAGACAAATCTCCCTGGGGGAAAAGTTTATGAGAAATTGGGCCTCGGGTTTGGTTAGAGGTTAGTTTTATTATTGTGGTGATGACAACCAGCATTACTTCTACATTTATTTTTATATTACATCACTTTTTAGCTATAATAAAATTATGAGAGATGGTGAAGGGATTAGGATTAGTTTTTTGAGGTACCAATAATTAGAAAATTTGTTCATGAAAACCTAAAGGTTAGAAAATTAGCCTGGCTTCTAATTTTTTTAGGCTGGCTCCTAGAGCCAAAGAACGTATGGGCCTGGCATTAATGAAATAAATAAATGAGGGCAGATTTCTATCCTAAGAACACAGACCATAAAGATTACATCAAATAATTGGAAAAGGGAGATACCTTTGTTGGATGTGCTGCTAGATTTTGCTCACTTAGGTCTCAGCCAATGACAACAGTTGCCATGAGGTGTGAGAATTAGAACATAAGAAGAGCCCTACTGGATCAGACTAATGGTCTATCTAGTCCAGCATCCTGTCTCACACAATGGCCAATCTCTGGAGGGCCAACAACAGAGCACAGAGACTGAGACCTTCCCCTGATGTTGCCTCCTAGCTCTGGGATGCAGAGATTTAGTGCCTTTGAATGTGCAAGTTCCCCCCAGTTACCACGGGTAGCGGCCATTGATAGAATCCTCCACGAATCTATCTAATCCCCTTTTAGAGCTATTTATTTCTGTGGCCATCACTATATCCTCTGGCAGTGAATTCCACATTTTAATCTCTCTCTCTGTAAAGAAGTATTTCCTTTTGTCCATCCTGAACCTATTATCCATCAGCTTCTTTGGATGCCCTTGAGTTCTAGTATTTTGGGAGAGGGAGAAAAACTACTTTGTCAACTGTCTACACTCCATGCATAATTTTATAAACCTGTATCAGCCCCCCCCCCCCCCGTTGTCTTTTTTCTAAACTCGTCCCAGACTCTTCAGCCTTTCCTCATTAAGAAGGTGATCCAACCCCCTCGTCATCTTGGTTGCACTCCATACTTTTTCCAGCCCTGCAGCGTCCTTTTGGAGATACGGTAAACAGAACTGTATACAGTATTCCAAATGAGTCTGCACCATAGATCTATACAGGGGCATTACAATATCAGCCATCTTATTCTCAGTCCCTTTCCTAATATTCGCTCACACAGAGGTTGCCTTTTTCACTGATGCAGCACACTGGGTTGATACTTCCATTGAGCTATCCACTATGACCCCAAGATCTTTTCCCTTATCTGTCTCAGGAAGTTCAGACCCCATTAGCCTATACTTTCTAATGTTTCTCATTCTCTTCCCCCTTTGTTTCCTCGCAGATCTATGTGGGATGCCTTGATGGGTCGGTCAAGTTGTTTAGCACTGAGAAGGGCAAGTTTACTGAGTCACGGGACTGTCGTGAAGGCGAGGGACCTTTCTGTGGCTTGGCTGTGCTTGATGGGTGAGGATATGGAGTCTTGTCCCTGCTTGCCCTTTAACACCAGGTCCTCACACTTGACTGCTGCATCATCCTCACTTCCAAAAGGTTGTGGACGGAATGCAGTGGGTGCAGGAGAGAGCGATAAGGATGATCGGGGGCCTGGAGACCAAGCCCTGCGAGGAAAGGTTGAGGGACTTGAGAATGTCCAGTCTGGAGAAGAGCAGGTTGAGGGGGGGCATGATTGCCCTCTTGAAATATTTGAAAGGCTGTCACTTAGAGGAGAGCAGGGAGCTGTTCCCGTTGGCAGGAGAGGATCAGACTCCCAATTTACGGGTTTAACTTATGAGCAGAAAGGTACTGGCTGGATCTTAAGAAAAAAACTTTAAACAGTAAGAGTAGTTCAGCACTGGAATCGGCTGCCTAGGGAAGTGGTGAGTTCTCCCTCACTGGCAGTCTTCAGGCCATAGCTGGACAAACACTTGTTAGGGATGCTCTAGGCCAGAAGGGTCAAACTAATTTGTTACGAGGCCAGATCTGATATAAATGTCACTTTGTTGGGCCGGGCCATGCATGCTATAAAATGTAACATGAGGCACCAGAGATATAAACTTCATAAAGGTGATTTCAGATGTTGAATGGTAATAGCAGGTGAATGATAATAGGAGGCTTGATTGGATTAGGTGTGATATGCAGAGGGGCATTACGTGTGGATATACCAGTGTTGGTAATGAGATAGGAAACCCAGGTCTCAATTCCATCCAGGATGATTCAGTCCAGGAGGATGGACATGTCTGACATTAGAAACCACAACATTCAGTTGCTGAACTAAGAGTAGCAGTGCTCTTACACAAAGGAATTTCAAACAGAGATTAGAAAGAGACTGCTGAATTACAATTGATAATGAAGCTCAAGACAATGCATCCTCCTGGACTGAATGGAGACCTAGTTTTCCTGTCTCATTACCAATGTGTGCTATTATCATTTGGCATCTGAAATCACTCTCCAAGATATAAGGACCAATCTACGTGTTCTACTTCTAATCTGGGTCTTTTTGAAAGAATAAATCTGGATAGGAACAGAGAAATCCAGTCTTTTTTTTTAAACCTTTCCAGAATAAACCAAAATAGTTTCCTCAGTTTACATTGTGCTTGTCAAAAGAATCCACGCATCCTCCCTCCAAGGAAGTGTGCTTGCACGCAAAAAGCTTATACCTGGAATAAAATGTTGTTGGTCTTAAAGCTGCTATGGGACTCCAATTTTGTTTTCCCTTTCTCTGTTTCCTTGCACACACCCCCCCAAAAAAAAAAGAGAGAGGAGGAGCAGCCCTGGAGAAGGAAGCAGGAGAAGGAAGTTGCTTGGGGGCTGGTTCTGAGCCCTACGTGGGCCAGACCCGGCCCGTGGGCCGCACATTTGATACCCCTACTCTAGGTTGATCCTGCTTTGATGGGGGGGCTGGAGCAGATTACCTCTGTGGACCCTTTCAGCTGTATGATTCTATCCTTTCATCTGAGCTAATAGGTTCTGCGGTCGTTTGATACCTTGAGTGATAAATTCTGTCTTCTGCACCACACACTGGTTTTCATGAAAAGTGTGTGGGGGGGGTCTGAATATGCGTCTTCCCTGTTCTCATTACAGTCACACTGGCTCTTCTTTGCATATTGCTGGTCTCTCTCTTTCCTTCCACATGCGCACACCGAAGAAGAGCCGGAGAAATAAATGTGCCCCATCTGCTCCTGTAGCAAAAATGATGTCCCCATATGGTGCTGTCCAGGGAGGTTGCTGAGGGGTTTTGAGATGTGAGCGTCTAGACTTGTCTCATGCACCAGGTATCACCAGGGAATGCTCCTTTGCCTCTCTGACTTTATTTTTCTCTCCATTGTTTGACTTCCACAGTTCCCTCATCACCTGTGTTCAGTCTGGCTTGCTGAAGGTTTGGAGGGACACTTCGTCGGAAAATGTGAGCTCTTTTTGTGTGGTGTGGGTGATGGGAGATACAGAATGGGTGAAGAGGGAGTGTGTATTATGGGAGGGAGCAGGGGTGATGGGGATGGAAGCTAGTCAGGGATTTTCTTCTCTGTGGAAGTGTGTTTGAACTGTTCTCGGGTAAGCCTTCTGCGGGGAGTGAGGGCCCAAGCTCTGATGCGAAGCAAAAGAAGGGGATAAGGCCAGTAAAACTGCACACCACTGTGGTCATTGCTTAAATTCCTGGCATTTGCTTTTAAGTGAGGATGGTGATATATTTGGGGAGACTGTGGCAACTCCTTTCCTCTGTTAGAACCATATCCAGTCCCCTGGAGAGGCATGTAGTATAAACTAGTATGCAATATAACCAAAGGGCACAGCAATCAAATATGTCAGTTTACAAAACAATTGCTGCAGCTGTTCACATATTCACAAAGCAAGAATAATTATATGTTGGTATTTCTTTCTTTAATCCAAGGTTTCCTTTTCAACAGGTCAGAACATCAAGTCACTGAACATCAACCCAAAGGGAACAGAGGCATTTGGGGGGAAAGAGAGAGACGACACTGATCAAGCGTTGCTGGGAGGATTCAGAGAAGGCACAAGAGCTTTCTGGTACGAGTCTTGAGCAAGAACACGTTCCACATTCCCTCGGCTGCCCCACTGCTCGGGTCTTGAGGAAAGCCAGGAAAGGTCTTGGCCAGTTTCACAAGAAACAACACAAGAAACAGGTGGATTCAGCTAACTTTATTCACCGTAAAATTAAAAAAAAAAAGAGGCCCCTGATTGAGCAGGGGACCTCAAAAGTTCTATGAAGTCATGGAAATCCGCTATAAGAAATGTAAATTCTAGGTCATGATTTAATGGTTTGTGGGGTGGTTTTTTTTTTTTCCTTTTGCTTTTTTACAAAACCATTTTGTGCAGATTTTTAAGGTGGACTTTTAGCATAAGACCGAGGAGCCCCCCCCCCCCAAAAAAAAAAAAAAAAAAAGAGGAGGAGCAGCCCTGGAGAAGGAAGCAGGAGAAGGAAGTTGCTTGGGGGCTGGTTCTGAGCCCTACGTGGGCCAGACCCGGCTCATGGGCCGCACACTTGATACCCCTACTCTAAGTTGATCCTGCTTTGATGGGGGGGCTGGAGCAGATTACCTCTGTGGACCCTTTCAGCTGTATGATTCTATCCTTTCATCTGAGCTAATAGGTTCTGCGGTCGTTTGATACCTTGAGTGATAAATTCTGTCTTCTGCACCACACACTGGTTTTCATGAAAAGTGTGTGGGGGGGGTCTGAATATGCGTCTTCCCTGTTCTCATTACAGTCACACTGGCTCTTCTTTGCATATTGCTGGTCTCTCTCTTTCCTTCCACATGCGCACACCGAAGAAGAGCCGGAGAAATAAATGTGCCCCATCTGCTCCTGTAGCAAAAATGATGTCCCCATATGGTGCTGTCCAGGGAGGTTGCTGAGGGGTTTTGAGATGTGAGCGTCTAGACTTGTCTCATGCACCAGGTATCACCAGGGAATGCTCCTTTGCCTCTCTGACTTTATTTTTCTCTCCATTGTTTGACTTCCACAGTTCCCTCATCACCTGTGTTCAGTCTGGCTTGCTGAAGGTTTGGAGGGACACTTCGTCGGAAAATGTGAGCTCTTTTTGTGTGGTGTGGGTGATGGGAAATACAGAATGGGTGAAGAGGGAATGTGTATTATGGGAGGGGGCAGGGGTATTTATTTATTTATTTATTCAAATTTATACCCCGCCCTCCCCCATAGGGCTTAGAGTGGCTTACAGGGCAAGATAAACTTGCAGCAGTAAAACAACAATACAAAATAACAGTATATCTACAATATAAAACATTTTATACAATTAAAAAACCCATCCTATCTCACATAAAGTGCTCGGTGATAGCTAAAACTCCAAGACCCAAGATGGCCATTGTTTGACTTCCACAGTTCCCTCATCACCTGTGTTCAGTCTGGCTTGCTGAAGGTTTGGAGGGACACTTCGTCGGAAAATGTGAGTATTGGCAACCAGTGCAGCGCTTTCAGCCATGGAGAGTCGGACATTCCTGTCCTCCACTAGCTCATCTAATGAGTCGCCAGGGGGCCTTGGATCCCGCAGATGGGGATGGAAGATAGTCAGGGATTTTCTTCTCTGTGGAAGTGTGTTTGAACTGTTCTCTGGTAAGCCTTCTGCGGGGAGTGAGGGCCCAAACTCTGATGCGAAACAAAAGAAGGGGATAAGGCCAGTAAAACTGCACACCACTGTGGTCATTGCTTAAATTCCTGGCATTTGCTTTTAAGTGAGGATGGTGATATATTTGGGGAGACTGTGGCAACTCCTTTCCTCTGTTAGAACCATATCCAGTCCCCTGGAGAGGCATGTAGTATAAACTAGTATGATCAGTCACCAGGGCTTTGCGAATTGACAAAGATAATAAAGTATGCACTCAGGCAATCTGGACTATGCAACCAATGAAACTAAATTCTGTGACTCGTATAGGTAATTGCAGTTATGCAAGCCTGTATCATTTTCCAGGTGCAGAGCTGTGTCTGTCTGAAGCAGCAGGACAAAGTTTGAGTCAGGTGGCACCCTCGATGTATCTGAAGAAGTGTGCGTGCACACAAACGCTTATACCAGGAATACAACTGTGCTGGTCATAAAGGTGCCCACTGGACTCAGACTTTGTTCTGTATCATTTTTGCATGCGGTGGAAAGGGCCGTCAAGTCGCAGCTGACTTATGGCAAACCCGGAGGGTTTTCAAGGCAAGAGACGAACAGAGGTGGTTTCCCATGGCCTGCCTCTGCATAGCAGACCTGGACTTCCTCAGTGGTCTCCCATTCAGATACTAGCCAGAGCCAACCCTGTTTAGTTCCCAAGATCTAACAAGATTAGGGTAGCCTGGGCCATCCAGGTCCGGGTTTTCTTGTGTATGTTTGTGTGCAAAGTGCCATCAAGTTGCAACTGGCTTATGGTGACCCCAACAGAGTTGGTTTGCCATTGCCTTCCTCTGTACAGCGTCCTTGGCATTCCTCGGTGGTCTCCCATCCAATTACTAACCAGGGCTAATAGCTTTATTGCCGCCTAAGTCTTTGTGGACTAGAGCTGCACTTTTATGCACGCAGAAACATAAGCTGGAATAAATCTATAGGTCATTGAATTCATGAAGCTGCCTTATAATGAATCAGACCATTGGTCTGTCAAAGTAAGTATTGCCTACTCAGATGGGCAGCTGCTCTCCAGGGTCTCAGGAAGAGGTCTTTCGCATTACCTGTCACCGATCTTTTTAACTGGAGATGCCATGGATTGAACCTGGAGCTTTCTGCCTGGAAAGCAGCTGCTCTGTCACTGAGCCACAGTCCCTCCCTACAGTGCTACAATAGGTTATTTAATAGCTTAAATTGCACCGTTAAGGGCTGGGGGAGCAGGCTGCTTTGTTTAAGTGAATGCTGAGATTTTCAGCAAGTCAGTTCTGTATATTGCCTAGCATATCCTGTGATTGCACAATAGTTTGCCAGTCTGGTATTGGCCATCTCCATGAAGTGTATTACGATGGTTGCTTTCTCTATTCTTGCCAGAGAGGTAGAGTTCTGATGTTTTTGTGTCTTGTGTATTGGCTTGCAGGCTCCGAGTATCAGAAAAAGATCCCAATGAAGGAAAACTGTATCCTAACTGCACTCAATTGATTTTTAAATATTAAAGTGAACAGAATACAAAAATTATTCGTGAAGTACAAAATACATAAGATGAGTACAAAATATAACATAATATAATATTTAAAACATAATCACTTTAATATTTAAAAATCAATTGAGCGCAGTTAGGATACAGTTTTCCTTCACTGGGATCTTTTTCTGAAGGACTTCTTGGCTGTTACCATCTACTTTAAGCTCTGAGTATCAGGTGCCAGAAGTCAGGCAAGGCAGAGGCAGTGGCTTAGCGTCTATCATACATGTTGCATCCATGCCTAACAGCCTTTCTTGGCTGGTTTTATAGCCCCACGCCTAAGAGTCATGCTTGCAACCAGTCACTTAGAAGCAATCCTGCAACTATTCATCTTTGTTATCAGCAAGCAGCTGGCGATAGGCCAGGAGGCATGCACTTTGCCATCTTATCTGTAGCTCTGTTCTCAGCCTCCGTCTGCGGTGCTTTAAGGGTGTAGGTGGTTCTGGTGGGCTGGGAATGGCCAACTGAGGTTCACCTGCTGAATCAGGGCTGGAGGGTGTGGTGACTCTACACCAGCTGTTGGCTGTGAATCCTGACAAGCCTGGAGCTTATTTTCCTGCTGGTCAACATCTGTTAATTTAAGACTTGCTACACGAGGCTCCACTTCTCCTGAGGAGACCTCGCTATCACTGAGACCCATGACATCTTGTGAGCACAAGAGCGACTGTCTCAGTGGTACGCTCACTTGCCCATCCAAGACCTAGTGAGGTTCAGCTTATTACATTCCCCACAATGTCTGCATTGCAGGTGGAGATCCAGGTGGGCCCGGGCGTGTGCCGCATGTGCCAGAACCCTGAACAGCTGCACCGCGTGGCCACTGGTGGGAAGGAGAACTGCCTCAAGGTGTGGGATCTACACCAGCCACAGGAGCCTATCTTCAGAGCCAAAAATGTGAGTGTACCGTTCATTGTAATAACTTAGGCTTTCTTCTCCTGGGATTATGCACAGAGGCTGAGTTTGTGCATTTGCCTCTCATTCCTGGCAGAACGGGCATTCACCACACTCCTTGCTTCATCAGAACGTAAGAGAAGCCACTGGCCCATCCAGTCGAACACTCTGTGTCGCACAGTGGCCAAAGCCCAGGCACCATCAGGAGGTCCACCAGCAGGGTCAGAACTCCAGAAGCCCTCCCAGTGTTGCCCCCCAGACACTAATTCCTTCCCTCTTGCAGGTACGGAATGACTGGCTTGATCTGAGGGTGCCCATTTGGGACCGGGACATGCAGTTCCTTCCTGGATCTGAGAAAATCGTTACCTGCACTGGGTATCACCAGGTAAATGCTCTCTGTGTGTTTTTTAACCTGATTCTCTAAGGGAGAAGAAGGAGGATAGCTTTTCTTGCCTTCTGTATTGTGTCCTGAACTGTGAATTGCCTTTGAGCTGCCTTTTACCAACTCCCTAGACAGCGATTTCTGAAAAATCTCAACGTTCTACTGTTGTCTGACACATTCTGTATTGTGCGAAATGCCATATGTTTGCAACCAAGATAAATTGGTTCCAGTTGGTGAGCTTTGTGCTGACAAACAACAAACACCTTGCCGGATGAGACCCACCCAAGGTCTAAGTCCAGCATCTTGTTGCCTGCAGAGGCCAATCAGATGCTGCCAGCATCTAGTATTCAGAGAGAGTATGCCTCTGGACAAAGAGGTTTTGTTTAGCCATCAGAGCTGTAAGATTGACCTTTCTTCCATGAATCTGTCCAGTCCTCTTCTAAAGCTGTCTAACTTAGTGGCCGTCCTTACATCTTTTTTTCTGCCATCAAGTCAAGCTGACTTCTGGCGACCCCTAGTGGGGCTTGAAGGCAAAGTGATGTTCAGAGGTGGCTTGCTATTGCCTGCCTCTGTGTCGCAACCCTGGTATTCCTCAGAGTTCGCCCTTCCAAATAGTAGCCAGGGCTGGCCCTGCTTAGCTTCCGAGATCTGAGTCGAGATCGGGCTTGCCTTGGGCTATCCAAGTCAGGGCTGCCATCCCTCCATCTTGTGGTCGTGAACTCCAGATATTAATCGCAGGTTGCAAAGAACACGTGAAGCTGCCTTCTACTGGACGAGACCCTCAGTCCATCAAGGTCAGTCTTGTCTACTCAGACTGGCAGCCGCTCTCCACGTTCTCAGATAAGAGGCCTTTCGTATCACCCCACGACGTGATCTTTGTGACTGGAGAAGCCAGGGATTGAACCTGGTACCATCTGCAGATGCTCTGCCACTGGGCCACGGAATGATAGAGAGCCAGCCCCCGGTGTAGCAATGAGATTGCCGAGCTGGGATCTATGAGACCCCGGCTTCCATTTCCCACTCTGCCACAAACCTTGCTGGGCCAGTCTCAGTTTTACCTTGCTGGGCCAGTCTCTGTTTTAGCCTTACCTACCTTACAGGGTTATTGTGAAGCTAGAACTGGGAATGCAGAACTGTGCATGCCCGCCAGGTTGAAATTTAAAAAAAAAAGGTTGGGATAAAAATACATTCTGTGGCTGATCTTTCTTTTTCTTGAATCTTCTTCTCACCGACTTCATTGGATGGCTTGACCTTTGTTGTCTAACCCAGGCAGGAAAATTTGTGCAAGGACAGAATTCCAGACTACTCATCTTCTCTCTGTTGCTCCTCTGCTTCCCAGGTTCGCCTTTATGACCCCAGCTCCCCACAGCGCCGCCCTGTCTTGGAGGCCACCTTTGGCGAGTATCCACTCACTGCCCTCTCGTTGACTCCTGACGCAAAGTGAGTCTTGACTTTTTCCTGGAATCTCAGTTCTTGGCAACGTGGGTGGGTATGTGTGTCCCAGATCGTGGGGCCACCTTTCCTCTGTGGGGTCAAACCCAAACCCGCTTGACTGCTCAGGGCCTCTGCAGATAGGAGTCACTGTGGGACAGGAAATGCTTTATGAGTTCTAGTTCCGATGCCCTTTTTTCCTTACAGTGCTGTCGTTGTGGGCAGCTCGCGAGGGGACGTGGCTGTCATAGATCTGCGGCAAGGTAGGTACAAAGAGGAAGACAAAGATTTTGGATCCTGCGAGAATCTGGAAGGGAAGGTGTTGAGGCTGAAGGAGGGTCTTAAGGAATGGTGGAAAGGGGCCGAGATTTATTGCTCCGGAGGTTCTTGGCTACTTAGAGGGGGCAAGTTCTCAAAGCAACAGGCAGGAAGGAGAGAAAGATTCAATTAGGCAAAGCTGATTTCTGCTATATCAGCTTTTAGGTGTATTTACGTGAGGGCTTTCGACTGAGTCAAACCGTCCCTATCAGTATGGCCTTCTCTGTGAGTGGTTCTGAGATCTTGGGCAAATGGGTGGCTCCCGAAATCTTTTAAACTGTGCCGTGTAAGTTCTGGCTCCTCTGCGGCACACGAGTTGCCTTCTCGTGACATGGACCATTCATCCATCTTTCGGCCAGTGCTGCCTATGCTGATGGTGGTGGCTTTTCAAAGTCTCAGTGCCACAGGTGCTTCTCAGCACCTGGCGTCCTGTACCTGGAGGTACAAGGGACTGAACCTGGAGCCTTCTGCATTCAGACAAGGGCTCTTCTACTGAGCTACAGCTCTTCCCCCGCTAAGCCTTGAACTGTACTTCAGTGTATGTGCGATTCGTATACACACAGTCAATCAAGCTGGGTTATGCTGGTGTGTCTCGGAGCCGGGACCCCTTTTGCAATCATTATGCCCGGCATCATCCCCTGCAGATGAAAGAGATCCGTGCACGTGCTGCTTGCTCTCATGGAGGCATTAAGAAGGGGATGAAAATGACACCTCTCTGCCACCTCCGAAAACAGTACACAGAATGCCATTAGAACAAAAGATAATTTGGAAGCAGAGGACTTCTTTGCAGATTGGAAGGATCTTAAAGACTATATGGAAAAGAATTGGGATGTAAGAGATGGGTTCCTTGGCGTTGATGACTATTGAAGTTGTTAGATATTAAAAACTAGATTAAAATGTGTTACTTAAATAGAAGGGGATAAGTTACCTAGGGACACAAGTAATGAAAAGGGAAGGAAAAAGAATTAACAATGGACAGGAGGTTGGAGCACTGTGGGAAGCCGAAGGGAGGGGGGAGGATGGTACAATTTTTATGTTATGAACAATATTTGATTATGTTTATCATATCCTAATAAAATTTTTTTTTTAAAAAAGTAGCAGCTATTCCCGAATTGAGTAGAGATGATCCTCTAAGTGGATCCTTTGGTACCCGGGCATTCTGTTAATTGGCTGGTTATGGGAGAAAGGTGCCAGCCACCGCGGGATTTTCTTTCCTTAAAGCTCTGTGAACTCCCTTTAGATATTACGTGCACTCCCAAGGGGGACTCTGTACAGTCTGAGAGCTACTGGTATATATGGCGTATCTATACATCTCCTGGATAATTACACACACGTGCGGGAAAAGAACACCTTCAAGCCAATGGGTTTAAATTAAGGGCGGGAAGGTACCGCCCGGATGTTAGGAAAACTTACTGTAAAAAGAGTTGTGCAAGAGTGGAATCAGCTGCCCGGGGAGGTGGTGGGCTCCCCCTCACTGGCAGTCTTTACGCAGCGGCTGGACAAACACTTGTCAGGGATGCTCTAAGCTGATCCTGCATTGTACAGGGGGTTGGACTAGACGGCCTGTATGGCCATCTTATGGCCCCTTCCAACTCTGTGACTCTATGATTCTATCTTTTCAGCCACAAAAGGGTATAGGAACATGCTTTCTTAAACAAGACAGCACTCAGTGCTGCTGAATACCAAACCCTGCTCTTCCAAGATGTTGTGTTTGTGTCTCTCTCTGTGGCAGGGAGGCTGGTGAAGTGCCTCAAGGGCTTTGCAGGGAGCGTCCGTGCCATTCAGTGTCACCCTGCACTCCCGCTGGTGGCCTCGTGCGGGCTGGACCGCTTCCTTCGTGTGCACAACCTTCACCAGAAGCGCTTGGAGCATAAGGTGAGGGGGAGCCTGGCTCGTAGAAAGACGGGGACGAGAACATGGTCGGTGATGGTGCCCCGTACAGAGAACGATGCTTGAGTCCTTTTGCTTATGAGAGACACCAAAACGGTTAGAATACGCTGCCCCTCAGGGCTAAAGGTCTAAAGTTTGGTATCTTTGTATGAGACAACATGACTTCTAGACTCATTTTGAAAAGGGACATGAAGCATCCTAACACAGCTTCCATGCTCGTTTCAGGTCTATCTGAAATCTCGGTTGAACTGCCTGCTGCTGACCAGCCGAGAGAAGTGGGAGGTGAGTCAAAAGGCTACAGAGAGCTTGTAGGTGTCTGTTATCATGCTGAGGGCATAATATTCCCATTTGGGTCCTAGGGTAACTATCTTGGGGGGGTATAGTTAACTGTGTATAGTTCAATGTTTTGGATAACCAAAGAAAAAGCTAGATTCAGGTGGGTAGCCGTGTTGGTCTGAAGCAGCAGAACAAAATTTGTGTCCAGTGGCACCTTTCAGACTGGCAGAATTTTTGGTGTGAGGGGAGACATGAGATTTTCTGCTTTGTTCGCTATAACTCTTAAGGAGGCTGGAGCCTGTATACTAGTGGCGTTAGACTTTGGTTCCATCCCAGAAATCGGTTCGGCCTGCATCTCTGTGTCTGGGAAAGCTGTGACCTCCGCAGTGTTTGCATCCTCTAAAACACACAGTGCCGTCTTGTTCTATAAATGTCCATAGATTAAGGACAGTGCTTATCTGACCTGCCGGATAACCCAAGGTTGGGAACTCAGGGTATGATGCTTTTGATGCGCAGGGTCTTCCTAGGGTCACATGTCTCTCCTTCATCTTTGACGCCCACTTTGGAAACACATAGCAACAAAACAGTTTAAAAAGGGATGAAATTTTGAGTCCAGAGGCTGCCTTTTCTGACCACCTCGTTCGGCCTCAGACGAGACAACCAAGAGATCTCTTTATTATACGGTCATGTAGGTACACTGGTTTTTTGTTTGTTTAAGTGAGACTTTTCAGTAAAGTAGAACGTAGTGCAAGCCTTTGTCTTTTGGCTCGCTCTCCAGGACTGGGTCCCTCATTGGCCCAGGGAACCACAGCTTGAGCCCAGGTCCCCGCTACAGCGCAGGGACTCGTATTTGCTCTCCGGAACATTTTTCCCCACAACAAAGACCAACAAAGTTTTATTCTTGGTAGAAGTGTATGTGTGCACATGAAAGCTTATCCCAGGAATAAAACTTTGTTGGTCTTAAAGGTGCCACTGGACTCAAACCTTGTTCCGCGGAAAAAGCATTTCCATGGTAGTCCTTAATGGGCTTCTGAAGCAGGCTGCTGCTGAACTGAACACATGAATGTGGTCTGATGCAAACAGATCCCTGATCTGCTTTACATCCCTTCCCAGAACGAGGACTCTCCAGCTGAGCTCCAGAGCGACGTGAAGGAGGAGGAAGACGACGAAATCTGGAACTCCATGGAAGTGGTGGCCACCAAGCGGAAAGCGGAGACGCAGCCATGCTGCGAGTCGGGAAACAAAGAGCCCCGAAAGGACAAGCCCTCGAGAAAGAAGAAAATTAGAAAAGCAGAATCCTGAAGGGGGTGGGGGCAGCTGCAGGAGCGACTGCTGCCTTACATACAGATGAGAATGTGCCGCCCCTGGCTCTTGGATTTGGGATGATATGAGAATAGAACACGTCTGTTGATAATGGAAAAGAGACAGAACATCTCCAGCTGTTCTTTCCTGCTCTGTAGGATAACTTTTGCAATGGGATGGCTTTTTGTACCGACTCCTACTCATCCTCTTGCGTTCAAGGGCCTTTGTGTGGCAGGAAGAGGATGCCTGCAACCAAGCCTTCGTCTCTAGACTCGGCCCTCCCCAAAGATCCTAACATCTTCACTTTGGCTGCTGTGCAGCTCTGTCCACTCTTCAATAAAAAAATGCCTGCCTGTGCGATTCATTTTGCATACAAGTTCTTTTGACCACTTGTCAGGCCAAGGGTACGTTTTCTTTTGCCATCAAGTCACAGCTGCCTTACGGTGACCTCATAGGGTTTTTTGTGGCAAGAGAGTGGGTTTGTCATTGCCTGCCTCTGTGGAGCAAGCCTAGACTTCCTTGGTAGTCTTCTGGGTAGCAGTGTGTGGACAAGATCTTGGCATGTGCGTGGACGGTGAGCTAAATACGAGCGGTCAGTGGGATGCAGCGGGGAAAAGACTAATGCAGTTTTTGGGTGTATCAACAGAGGCATAACATCCAAATCACAAGATGTCATAGTCCTGCTGTACACTGCATTGGTCAGGCGGCTTCTGGAGGAGTATGTGCATTTGGGGAGGCCTCACTTCCAAAAGGCTGTGGACAGAATGCAGTGGGTGGAGAAGAGAGCAATGAGGACGATCAGGGGCCTGGAGACCAAGCCCTAGGAGGAAAGGCTGAGGGATTTGAGAATGTTCAGTCTGGAGAAGGGAAGGTTGAAGGGAGGGACGACATGATTGCTCTTTTTAAGAAGAAGAAGAGATTGGATTTATAGCCCGCCCTTCACTTGGAGTCTCAGAGCGGCTTACAAACTGCTTTCCCTTCCCCTCCCCACAACAGACACCCTGTGAGGTGGGTAGGGCTGAGAGAGCTCTGACACAAACTGCTCTTTTTTAAGAACAGCTGTGCCAGAGCTTGTGACTGACCCAAGGTCACATCAGTAGGTGCAAGTGGAGGAGTGGGGAATCAAACCCGGTTCTCCCAGATTAGAGTCCGCACACTTAACCACTACACCAAACTGGCTCTCTTTGTATTTGAGAGGCTGTCAGAGTAGGGCAGACAGGAGAGAAGAGATTGGATTTATACCCCACACTTCACTACCCAAAAGTGTCTCAGAGCAGCTTACAAACTCCTTTCCCTTCCCCTCCCCACAACAGACACCCTGTGAGGTAGGTGGGGCTGACAGAGCTCTTGACAGAAACTGCTCTTTTTTCAAGAACAGCTCTTATCAGAACTACGCTTGCCCAAGGTCATCCAGCCAGGTGCAAGTGGAGGAGTGGGGAATCAAACCTGGTTCTCCCAGATTAGAGTCCACGCACTTAGCCACTACACCAACCTGGCTCTCTGTTCCAGCTGTTCCAGTTCGCCGCAGAGGATAGGACTTGCAATAAGAGGTTTAAATGACAGACGGAAAGGTACCAGCTGGACATTAGGAAACAAAATTGTACAGTAAGAGTAGTTCAGTAAGATCCAACAAGGTCAGGCTAGCCTGGGCTACCCAGGTCAGGGGAGGTTTGCACATACTCAAATGGTGTGGCTTTTGTTTGGGCCTTTTATAAAGGTTGAGTTTCTAGTCTGAACATGAGGGCGAAGAAGATACGTTGAGATAGCAATCTTATCGTGGTTGGATGTCCCTTGGCTTTTGCAGGGGGTTACTTCTGAGTGTGGCTGGACATTTGGCACAGGTTCCCAAACTTGTTCAGCCACTGGGCCTTTTCAGCACTTTGGGGAAAGGTAGTGAGCATCACCCCAAAATGGCTGGGGGTGCAGGGGTGTACAAAGACTACAAAGTGTTGGGAGGTTGTAAGCCACGTATTGGGAGGTAGCAGTATCTGACTGGGGACTCCCTGCATCCTGGAACTCATCTGAAGCACTTCCTGCTCCAGTGAGAGGGAAAGAAAGCAAGGATCCTTCCTTTACCTTTAGCAAAGAGACACTTTGGAGGAGATGCACCATGGTGCACAGGGACATTATGTGGGGAATGACTGATTTAAGGCTTTATTTGAATTAAACCATACCTTACTTTTGCGCTCAGGATTGTCTCCCAGTATTCGCGGTTGTTACGAGTAGAAGATTGACTTCCCTTCACTAATAAGGGAAGCCCCTGGGAATAGGCTCAGTGCTCTGGGACTGGAACGACAGCCCCCAGAGTAGATTGACGGCCTCTGGGAGTAGCAGAGGTGTTCTGGGACTGAATGGCAGGAATGATAGTCCCAGAATGCTTCTGCAAGTCCCAGGGGTTATCATTCCAGTCACAGAACGCTTCTGCTAATCCTAGGGACTGTCATTTCGCTCTGGGGGCTGTCTGAACTCTGTCCATTGCTCAGAAATTGAGTGCACAGCAACTGTTTTGTATTCTCCCCTGGCTCAGAGACTCCAGCTATGCATTTACCAAATGAAGGCATCTGTGATGCCACAATTTAGTAAATTTCAGTACAAAGTCACCCTTATGAATAAGGAAGAAACAAGACTCCTGTAAATGAACGTCCAGGAAAACTTTTAAAATCTTCCCCTACAGGCTTTTCTATGTTGCCTCTCTCACTGTCAAATTTGTGACCATTAGTTTGTCCTATGCACATGGTATGTATATTTGCAGATCTTAAAAGCGACTATTCTAAAAGTGAATTTCAAAATCAGGACACAGCAGGAGATTGCTGAGATGTTCCCTCTAAGCTGAGTTAGTGTGAGCTAGCTCAGTTTTTTAGCCTCTGGCTCACACATTTTTGTCTTCGCTCAGGAAGAATGGCTGCAGAGCAAACTAATTTATGCAGTAGCCAAATTGCTCGCTCACAACTTTAAAGCCAGCAGCTCACAAAGTAGAATTTTTGCTCACAAGACTCCACAGCTTAGAGGGAACACTGGATACCAGTATAACCACTGGCCAACTCCCACCTTTTCCTGGGTTTAGCCCAGCCCAGGGGCATTGCTGGGGGGAGGGGGTTCCCAGCCCCCCCCTAAATTTCTGTGGAGCCCCTCCCTAAATCCCACATGGCTCCACCTTCATAGTGACAATGGCCTGTGATGTCACTGGCTCCTCCCTATGATGTCACTGGGCCCCAGTTCTTTTAAGGACCTAGCATAGCAATGCCTCTGGCCCAGCCCCAGCCCTTCCCTGGGGAAATTGGAAAGTCTATGCCCCTGATTCAGAGGATCAGTGCCTCTGAATGTGGAGGTTCCCTCAGTCACCATGGTTAGAGAAGAAAAAATCTTGGGAGACCCCAGTCTACTCAGCTCTCCAGGGTCCCAGGCAGAGGTCTTTCACATAACCTACTACCTAATCCGTTTAACTGGAAATGCTGGGGATTGAACCTGGGACTTTCATGTCAAGCAGATGCTCTGCCACCCTGCCACAGGCCCTCCCTGCAGACTAGGACTATGGAGAGACAAGGTTTTTAAGCCTGTGCTTATGTACTGCTTTCTCAACTTGAAGTGGCTTCAGTGAGCTGCTCTTTGTCCAACTGGGGAAACTGACATGTAGGTTTCTCGGGGTGGGGGGCACAGTTTCCTGGGGCTGTTCCCATGCGGAAAATACTCCCCTCTGATATTCATTCTGTGCTCCTGGAACTCCCCAATCCAGAAGAGACCAAGGAGCTGACCAAGTTATAAGTCCATTATTTTGGCAACAAAGCCACAGGTTAGTATTAGGAAACCATTGTTTTTTTTCTGTTGCAACCTGCAATAGGCCACCTTACAGGATTGTCCTAAGGACTGCACTGCAGTGAAAATCGTATATATCACTCTGAATGCCCCAAATGTCTTGTGTAAATTAACAAATCTTCTTTATTTGGTTCAAAAGATGGCCAAAGCAGCGTCTAACAGCCAAAAATATGGTGCCTCCCATAATAACAACGTTCCTCTTGTCTCCCATGAGCTCTAACTCCAAGTATCCCATCTCCACCCTTTGGGTGCCTTTTGAAAACCTGCCCCCTTTCCTCCGCCCCCCCTGCTCCCAAATTCACCTTCAAACACGTGCAGAGAGAGGATTCTTCTTCCTGAGAAGTCTCAGTGCCTTCTTCTGGTAAACGACTTGGCTTTGGTCCAGAAAAGCGGGGTACAATAATTATTATTTTAATCAGAACAGTATTTGTGGAGGGACGCCATTGCGGGACAGTTCTCCTACCCCACCCCCCGCCCCCATCAAGGAGCCTCGAGGGAGGCCTGCCGGACGCATGACCTCACAAAGCTGCCAGGCGGCCTGCCCGACCCCCTTGGCTGCCCGGCTCGGCCAGGCGCCTCGGGCGATGGGCTGTCTGCACTCCAGCGAGTCACTTTCCACCGAGGAGGAGGAAGAGGAATCGGAGCCCGCGCCCGACTCCGCGGATCGGCCTAGCAAGCGGAAAGGTGATGCGGGACCCGCCTGCGGGGGAAATGACCTCAAGGGAGCGAAGAAGAACTCCTGCAAGCGAAACCCTCGGCTACAGGGAATCCCTTGCACGCGGACTCTGGGTGAATGGGCGGGGCTATCTTATAGAATTTTTTCCCGCAGGGGGGCGTGGCTCAAGAGAGACTAGATGAAGGGGCGTGGCTTATTCTTAAGGGAGAGGCGCCCAGCGGCGCCAGGTTATGGCGAGGTTTACTCTAGGGCTGTGGGAGCGGTGGAGTTGGAGTCGGGTGTGGGGCAGTGTTCCCTCTAAGCTGAGTTAGTGCGAGCTAGCTCACAGTTTTTTAGCCTCCAGCTCACAGATTTTTGTCTTCGCTCAGGAAGGGATGGCTCCAGAGCAAACTAGTTTATGCAGCAGCCAAATCGCTTGCTCCACAACGTCAATGCCGGTAGCTCACAAAGTAGGATTTTTGCTCACAAGACCCCGCAGCTTAGAGGGAACATTGGTGTTGGGAGGTATACCTGAAAGGTGTAGTTGCTCTGCAAATAGGGTTTGATGCATGTATGGGTCTATGTTTACGGGTCGTTCATAAAACATGTGTTTCGGGATGGGGGACAGGGCTGCCAACCTCCAGGTGGTGGCTGGAGATCTCCTGGAGAAAATGGCTGGAGATCAGGTCACCTGGAGAAAATGGCTGCTTTGGAGGGTGGATTCTGGCACTATATCTTGCTTTTGGTGTAGTGGTTGGGAACGTGGACTGTAATCTGGGAGAACCGGGTTTGATTCCCCCCTACTCCACATGCAGCTGCTGGCATGACCTTCAGTCAGTCACAGTTCTCTTAGAGCTGTTCTCGAAAGAGCAGTTCTCGAA